CAAATGTGCTGCAATATTCTTTTTGGACAGCAATGGCTTCCTCCGTGGTGTCCTCCCATGTACTCCATTCTTGTTTAATGTTTTCCTTATTGTAGATGTGTCAGCATAAATGTTAGCATGTACCAGAGATTTCTGTAGGTCTTTAGCTGACACTCTGGGATTCTTCTTTACCTCATGCAGCATTCTGCGCTGTGCTCTTGCAGTCATTTTTACAGGACGACCATGCCTAGGGAGAGTAGCAACTGTGCTAAACTTTCTCCATTTGTAGACAGTCTGTCTTACCGTGGACACATGAACATCAAGGCTTTTGGAGATACTTTTGTAACCCTTTCCAGCTTCATGCAAGTCAACAATTCTTGATCGTAGGTCTTCTGAGAGCTCTTTTCTGCGAGGCATGGTTCACATCAGACAGTGCTTCTTGAAACCAGTAAACCCAAAACAGGTGTGTGTTTTTAAGGGCAGGACAGCTGTCAGCAACACATCCAATGTCATCACACTGATTGGAGTTAAGGTTGGCTCACTCCTGGCTCCAATTAAGTCATTAAGCTAGGGTCTCACATACTTTTTCCTGTCCTGCACTGGGAATGTTTACATGTTATGTACAATTAAACCATGGCAACATATAATGTTTGTGTAGTATTATGTTCAGCAGACTGTGTTCTTCTATTGTTGTGACTTAGATGACGTTCAGAGCACATTTTATGTCCAATTCATGCAAAACTCCACGTAATCCCAAGGGGTTCACATACTTTTTCTTGCAACTGTATGTGCTCACTGAAAATATACATTAGCATCTCTTTAATGCCTAGTGTGCTATGGCATTAAACATTTCATTCATTGGATAGAAAGAGCAATAAAACAATGATGTGCATTCACTGTCAGTCATAATCCATAACATTCTTTAACAGTCTAATGAAGTAATCAATGTATATTGGCTAAACATCTACTTTCTAAAAGAAATGTAATTTTACTATCAAACTAATGCATTGTATGGCATTCTGCCTGTCCAAACACTAATGACCGAGTTTAAGAGGACTGAGCACAGAGACATTGGGGTCAATTCACTAAGCGATAAATACCACATTAATTTTTTAGTTAAAATAACTCATGCAGTATTTATTTCAAAAGTGGTCAATTCACTAAAAAACATGCGTTATTTACCAAATGCATTAAATATTTGTGTTTTGCGATATTTAAAACTTAAACTCAGCGTTATTTTTTATGTTTTCTCTTTCTTTCTTTTTTTTTTTTGCAGGCTAACACTGCACCAGAAGCACACAGCAAGTATGTGAAACTGAAAACATTGTAGTGTGCTTTAATTCACAAAATGATCTCCCTCTGATGAAATGGTTCATTCCTGAGCTCAGAGGAGAACCTTTTTTAAATTGAAACATTGTATACTTTTCACTTTCTTGTCAGTGCAGAGTTCCTCTAGTTGTTATTTTGTACATTTCTAAAATAAAATACTGCCAGCAAACACCATGTGATAAATAACGAATGTGTGTTTTTCAATTAATTGAATTTAATGTATTCTCATTTTTTTTGCGGTATTTATCTCACTATTTTAACAAATGTGCGATATTTACCTCACATTTGATATTTTACTTTCATGAATTGACTCTTATATTATCTCATGCGATATTTCTGAAAAGCAAGTCACGTGACCTTCATATCGCATGCGGTAACCTTTCGTGAATTGACCTCCGAGATCTTAAACAAAAAAAAAAAAAAAGAAAAAAAACTTTTTTTTTTTGCTACACTGACTAACATTTACTGTTCAGGGCCCATTTACACCACAACCCCCAGCCTTTTGCGCTCATTAAAGCATAAATGTTTAATGTGTTTGACAATATTTATTATTAATCTCAAGCTCTTTCATTCAGCTTTCTCCTCCACCCCACAGCCTATACATATCACCCTTACTCATTTCTCCCTATTACTGTCACCTTCTGCTCATTCTAAAGGCCTCATTAACACAGGCATACGACAGCGTAGTTTACCGTCAAGGGGGATGCACCGATGTTCTGTGCATCCTCGTGCAGACAGTCCCATTCATGTCAAGAGTAATGCAGCAGCTGCATGGACGAAGCTGTCACTCTCAATTTGACATCCATGTTGGTGTGCGGCCCTGAATGCACACTGTTTGCGTTTGGGGCCATGTACTTTTATGGATGTCAGACTGGGAGCAGTGGCTGTGTCTGTAGCTGCTACATCCCAATTGATTTGAATAGGACTCCTTTCACAGGGAAACATGGCCCTTGCATGGCGTATGCTGTAGTATGCCGAATGATGTCCCTCTTATGTGCCCTCTGGAATGCCTGATCAGTCTGTAAAACTCACATCCATTTGTGACCCTTTTATCTCTAGCTGCTTTAACCTGCTTGCGATTACTGAAACCTGGCTTCAGGAATCTGCCCCTCCAGCTGCCCTCTCCCATGGTGGCCTCCACTGGACTCGCTCACTTAGACCCAGTGGCTGAAAGGGAGATGGAGTCAAAATCCTTGTATTCCCACAAAGCACTTTTCAATTTTTTTCTACACCTTCCTCTCTGTCTCTTGAAACTCACTGTATTTGTCTTTTTTCTCCAGTTTCTCTAAGAAATACTGCAATTTAACAGGCGTGGATGCTGGTGTAATGCTTCCTTGATGTCTTCTCTGCTTGGCTATCCTATTTTCTCTTTTGTGAAATACCCACTATCATCCCTGTTATTGTTACCACATCAGATAATTGCCTGGCTTTTTATTCTTCACCTACCATATTTTACTTTTCCTCGCCATTCTTCTTAAAGTGACCTTTTTATGTAAGAGCAGATGCATCCATCTCTCTTTACTTCATGGAACTGGTCTATCTCCCAACACATGTGACAGTGCACATCATCTGAGTTGGAAGGCTGGTGATGCAGCTTTCCCAGGATGCATCTGAGGCCCTGGTTACATCACCAGTGCCTCACTCAGTCAGAAAGTAGAAAAACCATAATTGTAAATAAAAGCAAAAAAAGATTTGTTTAATGAATAAAAAAAATATTTCACAACTGCATGCACAGCTGCATACTGATATGATTTTTAATGAAATAGGAGAAAGGTCTGCATTGGCTCTCCATTTTGTTCCCACTGCCTCCACCCACTGGCTTGTTGACTGCTCAGAATCATTTAAAAAAGCAAGGTTGATACAATTCAACAAATCATGTTTACCACTACATTCAATACTTTCTGCTTTTGACCCTGTTACCACAGAGGAGGTCTCTACATATTTGTCTGGTGCCTAACCACCATCCCCCTGGACCCCATTCCTTTAAAACTACTCCAGTCACTATCTCAGTATGAACAAATCAAAACCTATCTCCTTGCTCCTGTTTACCTACAAATTCCTAGAACACCCCTCCAGACTTCTTTGGAGCCTCCTCCATTCTCTGGAACTTCCTGACTATCTCCTACTCTGTCTTTAGGTGATCCCTGAAAACAACTTCAGGTAAGCCTATCCCGACTCCACTTAAAAAAATGGAGCTTTTACGTTCGATCATTTACAGTTAAGTCATTTGCCATTCCCTTTAGACTGTAAGCTCTCAAGAGCAGGGCCCTCTTGTATTAAATTGTATTGTAATGGTATGGGCTCTATTTTGTAAAGCACTGCACAAACTGTATGTGCTATAAAAATACTGTATAGTAAGAACGGATTTATTTTTGCTGGGAAGACCTGCTTAATGGGGAAAGTAATAGAGCTAATCATAGTTAGGGGTTTTCACAACCTGTAAAAAACAACCACTACAAATGCTATATTTAATATATTGGGGATCAGGAAGGAATTTATTTTCCCTGCAGAAGCAAATTGGATCATGCTTTGCTGGGTTTTTTGCCTTCCTCTGGATCATCTGTGGGTATAGGATTAGAACTTTTTTTTTTAAAGGTTGAACTGGATGGACTTTTGTCTTTTTTCAGCCAGACTAACTATGTAACTATGTAAACCCTGAAAATCAAGTTGCTGGAAGGTAGACCCAGGGGTGGACTGACAACTCATGGGGCCTCGGGCATTAGGGGATCATGGGGCTCCTGTGTCCTTGCCCAAACTCAAAAAAAGCCTATGAAAGAGTTACCAGGGGCATCTCATGGGGCCCCCCTACTAACCCCGGGACCTCGGGCACTGCCCGAGTTTCCAAATGGTCAGTCCGCCCCTGGGTAGACCAAAAATATATCCTTCACTAAAAATGTAACTCAACACAAAAGAGAAAAATGCAGTGATCAATACGTGCACATTTCACCATGTTGTACCTTTAAAAAGGCCCAGTAAGTACAGAAAAATACCCTTTCATCTGCCAGACATGCATTCTGCTCTTAAATCCTGTTTTCGGCTGACAACACACGGCATTTTTGTGAAATGGGTATCGGCCCTGGCCAACATCTTTTGTTAAACTACTTAACCACTCCCAATCTCAGCTTTCTACAAGGCTAATCAATGTGTAGTCCAAGCAAAGAACTAGGCGAGCTCTTTGAGATAACACAGAAAGTGGGATGAAGACACAGGCCAGATCTGAGTTTCTGGCGAGAATAATAGGGATTTTGCAATTATATAACAAAATGCTTTAATTTACACACCAAAAGGGAGCAAATAAAAGAAGTCCATTGTTAGGGTTTACACATACTTTAATGCAAGTATTATACAAACGTTTAAGATGTTATTTGATTATGCTAGCAAGCATGTTAATGTAAAATAAACTCTTATATTACATAACTTGTGAAAAGGAACTTTAAGAAATAAAACACCATATTACACATACACAGGAAGCATTCAGGCACATGAGTAAATGAGTAAATGTACATTTACGTGCAAGGAAAGGTCAAACTTTGTTATGGAAGCCTGTCTGAGCATTGGTGATGGAATACAATCACATACGAGTCTGTAGGAATGCATTTCTGTGTATATATATGCATGTGTAGTGCCCTAAATGCTAGAAACGGAGCTTTGTGTTCATGAAATTGCAGAGGATTCTGGGATGGGAGCCTTACTGTATTGGTCGTTCTGACACCTCTGCAGGATCTGTAAGCTCCTTTGGTGGACGGGGTGCTGCAGAAAGCTAAAGCTAGAAAGGCCTTTGTGAGATGAGCCAGGAGGCCCCGATGTACAGGGGGGGCCCGAGCCTTGAGAGCAAACACACAGGAAGAGAAGACAGAGACAGATTAACCAGAGAGAGGGCAGAGTAACAAACCCCCAGCAAAGACAGAGGCAGAATACCCAAAGCTGCAACTACTGAACCCAGAGACAGAGACAGGCAAGTGTGACTGTGCACAGCCAGATTTCTATTTTTTCCAAAAAAAAAGCTGGAATGTGCTATGACATAGGGCAGATCTAAACAGAAGATGCCTGTGATCTGCTTGCAACTGTTCTTTATACAACTGGTTTCAAAATATATTTTCACTGATCAGTTATTGAAATACTTAAAGACTCCTCGACAACATCCCAATAAAACAAAATCGATCAAAAAGGAGCGTTCCAGACTAATAAACACCCATATTGTTCCATCCCTGCAACAACCAATCACGAAGCAGTCATTCACTTGTTCTGTTCACCTTACTGTAGTGATCACTCACCAGTTCACTGTTAGAGCATCCCAATACATCAGTCACTCACCAGTCTTCTTGCCCACGTTGTTTCTACCACTTTGCCTGAATGCCCACAGTGCTCTGAAAAATGCTCTTAGCAATGCCCATCGAAAAGCTGCTACTGGACTGACTGCAATAATTCCTCGAATAAAGGCATTACGGCTGCTACGCAATAAGGCCACAATGTCTGGGCGCATGTGATCTGTGTTTTTTTCCCGAAAATCCTGCAAGAGATGATAGCTTTAAGTTAACTGACGGAGAAATAAGGTTATAATCTAAGTCATAAAATGCATACATCATTAAAAACATAGTATTTTTAATTGGGCCTCAACCCTGCTCAGCACTTTTCCTAAAGTTGAAGTTTAGCTATTTAAAAAAAAAAAAAAAAAATTAGTACCAGGGAGTGTACTTTCATAAATGAAGAGTGCCCTGTGTACTTGTTCCTGCAATGTTCCTTAACATTTTCCATCCTCTGCCAACCCGACACCCCCGCAGCTGCAATTTTCTGGTGTTGCAGGGGTTAATATAAGTGGCTTCACCCATCACAGGCACTCATTAAAAGAGTGGACTATGCCCACCATTTCCACCCCCCCGGTTCATTCACAGTAGTCGTACCATCAGTTCCCACAATGAAAAGCATTCTATAAATGAAGAACAGGTGGGCGAATAAAAGGACCACCTCCTCCATTAATAGAGTGCTTGTAATTGTAGCCACCAGGACACTCTTCACTAATGTAAATATCGGCCCTGGTGCTGATTTAAAAAAAAAAAAAAAAAAAAAAAAAGATGACCAAACTTCAGATCTAAATAATTAGCAATTTAAATTCCATTTTTTCCATCACCATTAGAGGGCAGCACATAGTTATGCTTGTCTACTTTCTGAGGATGTACAGTATATACCCCTACTAAAGACCATGAAAATATACCACTCAAACTAGCCACTCACGTTACAATCCCTTTGTACAATCTGAGTACAAGCTCCTTTAGAATGGCCAAAGACAGAATAGTGCACGGGCACTAAATAATGCAATTTATATTCAATTAGATACCCCCCCCCCCCCCCACATACTATATAGTCAATAGTAAATGGGATTGTAGCCTATTTGGTTAACTTGAATAGTTCCTTTTAATAAAAAAAAAAAAAAAATATCTAAACAGATCATTGACAGCAGTCAGAACTCTTCCAAAGGTTTCATTTTGTTTCCTTAGCTGGGGCAGCTGCCATTATGTAATTCAGTTTGAACCTTATTAGGAGACTGCACGTGCATCCTTTTTCCACCATGGACTAATATGGCATGATGAGGAGGTGAGGAGTAACCTGATACTGTTTTTCCATTCAATTTATCAACAACAGATAACTTCCAATAGTTACCTACAACTTGGTGTTATCAGCCAGCTAGACTGATTTTCCATTGATCGGTTGCTGCACATAATGAGAAGAGCAGCTGGATCAAAGGCCAGCAAAAGCCGAGACAGACAGCAAAGATAAGGGAAAATCCCAGTTACCTCAATATAACCAACTATGCATTTCAATGTACACACAATGTGATTGCAATATATTCAGGGAATTAAAGACCACCACAAGTTTTATCCTTGCACCACTCTTCTAAGTTGAGAAAATGGAGCAGATTTTGCTCCAAATTAATAAACTGGGTGTAATTCCACCACACACCCCATCTCCATCTTCTGCTACCGAAGCCTCCTAGGATGTGCCGACATCAATGTTGGCACTGTTTTTTCCTATGATTAAAGTGTCACTAAACCCAGGAACCTGTATTGACTATATCTGGTCTCCCACAGTACACAGAACAGGGAAGTGCAATTTTAGTAAATATAAACTGCTAAATACCTTTTCTCATCAGCAGTTAGAGCAGTCTTGTGACTTCTATCAGTGTCCAGCAGAGCCCTGATTAAAGCTTGTAGGAGGAGTTTTCATTCTACTCTAGGAAGATGCAGGACCCCATCCCTCTGTCTGGACAGTGCTGATTGGCCCCTTGTTGATCACATGCACTCTCCCAAGAAAAAAATACACACCAAACTGAGCATGTGAAGAGGGACTCTACTTGATATGTCTTATAAGGAGGTAAAAGGGGGACAGTGGGAGGATCAGAGAAGTCAGGATAAAACAGCCTTTTTACACAATGCAGAGGATTGACCCCTTAGGTTCCACAGTGAGTATAACAAGCATGCTATACTGCATATACAGACTGATTTTACTGTTGTGGGTTTAGTAACATTAAGTTGCTGATCACGTGATGAAATGGGTCAGTGACAGGACCACAAGACGTAGTTACGGCCGGAAGTGTGAGTTTGGCCATTATAGACACTACTCCAGGGATATGCATCCTTAAGGGAGCAATTTGGAATGGAAACAAGTGATCTATGTGGTGCACTGGATGTTACACACGCAATGTTCTTAAGAGTCTTTTTAATATTCTTTTAATTAATTAAATCATGTTACTCTGATACTGCACCAGGAGATCTTTTTTGGCTTTCTTTTTGTACATTGATTTGGCTGGAGTCTTGCGGTCTTAACGTAACACTTACCTATTACAAGCCAATTGGAGGAATATTGCCAGTTATTACACGCAGAGTGGTGAGAAAGCATGTTTGACCTTACCTTTGGTGTGTGTCAAACCTTGAGGTAAGCAGCAGCATTGGAAGGTGATGGTTCACTGCAGTGGAGCCCATCAGCAAGTTTATATTGAGTACACGACATATGCATGATATTTTGGGACTGGATATTTTGGGACTTTTTATTCATTTTGCATTTGCTTATACTAGTTTAATGTGTATGCGTTTACATGTATTTTTTATAGTATTTTTGACATTTATTATTATTATTATTATACAGTATTTATAAAGCGCCAATAGTTCGCTCAGCGCTGTATTTATAAGGGGAATATGATTTATTAAGCTTTGTATATACAAGGAACATTGGTATTCATTGCACTTTATCTATTTATATCATCAGTTACATCACTAAGTGTGTTTTATGCATTTACAAGCGTTTGTCATTTTTTTATTTAAAACATTTTTTTTGCACATTTATATTGTGTTATACACAATTTAGTTGTGCTTCATTTTTCCATATTGTTTTCTATTGGTGTTTAAACACACAACAGTGAGGAGCTGAAACATAATATATATAGTTTTTGATATACATTTGGGTTAGCGCTGAAGTTTCCATTTGCTTGGTACGTTCTAAACCAGATTACAGTGTTTATCTGTAATCTCCATTGAGGGGTATGCATTAACATGACTCGTTTTACAGCACTCACCTTAACACCATATTTGACCTTGCCAGCATAGTGGTGAATAATAAAAGCTGGCTCCATAACTGCTGGAAACTCAATGTACTGGTTGCCTTCATTATGGCGTTTGAACTTTTCAAGCAGAGTCTGATGAGTAGCTTGTGGGAAGCTAATTAAGAAAAACAAAACAGAAAAAGGCATCTTTAGAGGAAAATGGTTTCTTACAACAGATAGCTGATAAATAAGTTTGGAAATGTGTTCCTGGAGGGCTCCAGTGGGGTATCTTACTTGCTTTCTTCATCCAGCAGCTGGAGCAGTCCTGTGGGCCTCTTGCTGATCAGACTGATGCAGCCTGCATTATCTGAGTAATTGATGTTGCTCCAGCTTATTCCCTCTGATCGATATTGCTCCTTGGAAAAAAAAAAAAATTACAAACTTGATGATATCTCTAGAATAGAAGATGCTGCTCCCTCTTGCCAAACATGCATATTGACTCAGGTTGTTGAAACAAAGTAACAAGCTACAATTACCACATAAACGTTACACACAGCATTGCATAAAGAATATGTAATTCACAAATTAAATGCTTTTTTTTTGTATTTGTATGAATGTGCCAAGAGGACCTGGTAAATGGTACATGTTGTTTCACAAAAAAAAAAATGTTACTGCTTAACCACATTTGCCTTGGAGTTATGCTATGTGCTCAGGTCAGATGTAATTAGTTGTAAGCTGAGATTTTTAATATTTCTGTCTACACACAAACATCTCACGCTATTATAAGGGGAGCATTGATCTTATTACTTTTTTTGCTGGCTGGAAGATAAAAAAAACAAAACAAAACAAAAAAAAACATGTGTATGGCAAGCTTTAGTAGCCTCTCAGATTTCTCTGAAAGGGCAAAACATCCACAATGCCCCAGGTAGCAGGATACCATGCGATATAAGAACTGGTCCAATTTTAAATGGTAAAATGTCAGTTGTTGTTTGACCGTATGAATGGCTTCATTTGACAGCATGGGTGGAAAAAGAGTTACAAGAAATTCATGCAGTTTATTTTTTATATGGACAAATGTAAGCTTCTGTAAAAAGGCTGTAGTATCAGTGAACCATTAAAAGCCATTCTGTTGATCTTAGCAAAGCCACAATACTGCTACAGAATGATCAGACAAGAACCATGGAATTAGTGATGTGTTGCCTTCCAAATTCTCTATGCAGACATTGGTGCCAAAATGAATGAGCATGCGCGGGAGTTAACACTATTCCAGCCTGGCTAATCAAGATGGCAAAAGATCATGAACCTGGAAAAACATCAGTAGGTGAATATGTCCATGCCAGTGAGGGACGGAGGGAAAGTAAGGTAAATAGCTTAATTTAAAAAAAAAAAAAAAAAAAAGCAGGGACAAAAACAAACCATACATATATTTTGAAGTGATGTGTGATGTTAAAGTCTATTTTTATTGTAAATAAAATATTTTTATAAATTAAAAAAATGTTATACTTATTTGCTCTGTACAAGGATATTGCACAGAGCATGTTCTCTTCTGGAGTCCCCTCGCCAGCCTGCTCAGTCTCCGCTCCAGAATGCCTCCATGGCAAGTAGTGTGCTGAGGGAGCACCCATGTGGGCGAGCTCCAGAGCGGGACCATGCGCATCTAAAGACACACAGAGCATGACTTGGCCACATGCACACTCCCTCCTCACAGGATTTAATGGACAGAAGCAGGAGATGATCTCATTCTCCCGTGACACGAGCCGGGCACAGCGCTGGATAATGAGAGGACTCAGTTATGTGTTTAGGGACAGGGTGGAGGGAGCAACAGGTGTTGGAAGATTTTTTACCTTAAAACCACTTTAAAGGAACTGATGGAAACCTGTGCTGAGAGCAATATGTAGGCTGCCCCTATAAGAATGCTAGTTGTCTGTTTCTGAAGTCCCCAATCCAGAACAATTATGCAGTTCAGGAATGTCAGAACTCCTGATCTACACAGAAGTCAGATGTTCTGATCTACAGCCAGGGAATTTATATATTCATACATGAAACATCAAGAGTGGCAGTTTCATTTTAGGCCTTTAACACATGGACTCCAGCTTATAAAAAGAGAGCAAGCTTCTGCAAAGCATTTGCATATCTTTCAGCAAGCTTTGGGCAGATTTTTAAAAGTCTTTCATATAACCGTACACATCTACTTTGGGTTTGTTAAACTCAAAATTGAATGGGAGTCTGATTGTTACTTTAAACAAGCAAGCCATAAACTTCAGAAGGTTTAAAAAAAAAAAGTGTAAATCAATGCTGAAATTTGTTGAAAACCTGCTGAAGCAAGTAGATTAAGTGACAGTCAGTACTCCCATTAGGATCTCAAACATCCCCAAACTGGAGTGGTGGGAGCTTTAAAGGCATGCTGCAGACTTTGCAACAGTAAAAGCTTACTATATACACACACTGAAGCCTGTGTGTTCATGGCTATAGCATTGCATTAAGTTGTTAGAAGGAAAGTAGTTTAAAAAAAGTCTACAAATTCCTAATTTCTTATTCCCATACTGAGAAGACTCAATGACAAGGTGACAGCAAGCTTACAGTTGTATAGAGTTCACTTCTAATGCCGTCATACTATGCTTGTGCAGGGATTAAAAGAAATCACCATTTTAAGGCAGCAGGAAATTTCCTGACATGTTCCTTCTGATGACAGAATGGAAAAACAGAGGAAGTGTATAGAGCGGGACTTTCAGAACAGTGAGATTCCTCCGAGACCATCTAAAGCTTTGATACTGTATAATGTTCACAGAATTAGTTGATTAAAAGAACAATGCCAGGCAAAAAGTGAAAGCATAAAGCAAAAAGTTACTAATGCTATCAAATAAACACAGCAACTGTGCTAAAGCTAGACAACTCAACTTTATTCTGAATTTTGGGTTACTGCAGAATAAATACACAATATTTCGAAGTTGGTCAGAGAAAAACTGTAATAGAAGTATACTTTCTGAAACTTTCTTTCTACTTCCTGCCTCAATCCTATTCAAATATTTTTGCATCAATCAGAATCAAATTTTGCAAGGCCGACTGAATGTGATTGGGGGCTCCAAGAACATCTTAGTACTGACATTTGCTGCGAGAGGTAGCAATGAGGGTATTGCAACATCTGCAACTGATCTTGGATCTCTTTCGTGTCGTTCAGGTAGATCTTCACCTATCAGAGGTTGCCCACCCCTGTCCTAGATCTTACCCCAACAGCAATGTGGCATAAAACTGAGCAACTAGCTAGTCCTAATACAATTGTTCCGTGATTTTAAAATTCATTTTGTAAAACCACCAACCTGTTCTAGCTGAAAGAGATGTTGATTGAAGTAATGTTGTAGACGCTCATTAGCAAAGTTAATGCAGAACTGCTCAAAGCTGTTGCTTCCATAATCCTCGAATCCAAAGATATCCAGGACCCCGATGGAAAGAGTCTAGATTAAGAAAAAAAAGATAATAAACTACAATTAATGGGAGGTAGTGACTTTCTTATTCCCTTTGAAGGGAACTCTTATGGTTTCATACTATGCATCTTTTAAGTTTAAAACCTGATATTTTTATGCTTTTTACTAATTGTATAAAATCTTTTTTTATATTAAAAAATATTTAATACAGGGTGCTTCTATAAAATGTGTTTCGTTAGCCCTGTCTGCTCTCGTTGCCTGCTTTTGATAAACTAAAACAGATCTTGGTTTCTGTAAGCTAGTAGACAGAAAAGAGGCCTCTTCTCTCCTCTGATCAATAAGCAGTTTGTGTTCTGGGATTATACCTGTATATCAGCAGATGAAATTACATAGGCTACTAAAGCTATTATATGGTGAAAAACAAGAACCAGTCTGTATGGATCCTGTGGTCTTTAGCAAGTCAGACTATACAATTTTTTTTCCTGCAACCACAGGTTTCAGGCAGGGGGAGAAATTAAAAAAAAAAAAAAGGAAAAAAAAAAATTGCTCTATTTCCCCATCAACATACTCCGTTTTGATGAGGGAATCCCTTCCGCAGCACTATTGTGTTTTGACAGGGGTGAGCATTCCCTGCTCGATTGCATGACAAAAAAAAAAAAAATCAAACAGGCTGGTTGTATTGAAGCTGATCGTTGGATTGACTTACAGTACAACAAGCCTGCGCACAGATGGATGGAATCTTGGCCAGTCCTTGCTGAACTGGCCAAATTTCGTAAAGCTGGTAGTGAGAGTTAATGTACCCAAGGGGACACAGCAATAAAATGCTGAAAAAACATCTAAGGCTAGCTATAAGAGATTCGCACAGAGAACAATGGCGGGAAGACATCTGCCTGTTATTTTTATTGCTCTCACTAGGGAAGAGAATGGGTTCAGTACGAATCCATGTTCAGCCAAATCCAGACAGAAGATGTCAGCGCCAGCCTAATCCTCTGTGACCAGAGCGTTCTCTGCCCTGCTGCTGCAAAACACACAAAGGGGAGGGGATACTCGTGATATCATTGACCAATAAACTGGGTTTGTTAAGTGGCACTTCTGCTCTTGCTAATCTGGACATCTCTTCTCTCCCTTCACAGATAAACTAACATTTATGTTACTACTGCTTCACATCCACCTTAAACTGAATACAGACTGACAACTCTCTCCTCAAACTGTTTCTCACCCCTCTTCTGCACCCCACAATCTGTATATATCTCCCTCACTTCTGTCCTCCCCTTATCACTGCACTCATCTCCTCCTAACTCTAATCCCACATGCTGATAAAACCCCCAGGATGACATGTGGAGACATATTCCCAAACCCAGGGCCTTTATGTAACTGTAAACCAATGCACTGCACCCATCACCCTGCACTGGCAGCAGCCATAATCCACACAATTTAGTTTCCTCTTATTCCCAAAACCAGTCAACCCTTGTCCTGTGCCCTCTGGAATGCTCACTCTGTCTGCATCAAACTCACCCCTGTTCATGACCTTTTTGTCACTAACTCCTTTCATCTACTTTCTGTCACTGAAACCTGGCTTCATTAACCGGACACTGCTTCTCCTGCTTTCCTCTCCCATGGTGGTCTTCTCTGGACTCACTCCCCAAGACCTAGTGGATGCAAGAGAGGTAGAGTGGGAATCCTCCTATCCCCACACAGCACCTTTCAGGTTCTTCACTCTCCTCCTTGTCATCATTTGAAGCTCACGGTGTACGTCTGTTTTCTCCAATTTCTTGAGCAACTACTCTCATCTACCAAGCCCTGGACCAATAAAATTTTCTTGATAACATCTCTGCCTGGCTACCCTACTTTCTCTCTTCTGAAATTCCCACAATCCTTCTCGGTGACTTCAACATCCCTGTTAATACTAACACTCCTGCTACTTCCAAACTTCTTAGTCTAACCTCCTCATTTGACCTGAAGCAATAGGTACAAGCTTCTACTCACTCTGATGGCAACACCCTTGACCTTGAATTCTCCTACCTATGCACTCTGTCCAACCTTTCCAACAATCCTTTTCCTTTTTGATCACCACCATATTAGTTTTGCTCTCTCTTCTGTCTTCCACCTCTTCTCCCTCCAACCGCCTAACTATTACCCATAGAAACCTTTGCCACTTTAACTCTTCTCTTCTCCACTCTGCTACTGACCACCTCTGACAATATCTCACCCCTGTCCTACCCCAATCTAGCCACTTCTGTCTACAATATATCCCTGTCCTCCGCCCTGGACGAGCTTGCCTCTCTCACTACACAGAATCAGGCCCTGACCCCCACAACCCTGGCATTTATATACCAGATGTCTCTAAATATGCAGCAGCACTCTCAATCATCTGTGGTGCAAGGACTAAGTCTCACAAAGACTTCAACCAATATAAAGCTCCCCTCCAAAAATACAATTCATGCCTCTACACTGCCAAGCACACCTATTTTGTCACTCTCATTAACACCTTCTCATCCAGTCCCGGTCAACTCCTCTCTACTCTTAACTCTCTCATCTTTGTCCACCACTGCCTAAACCCACTAATTCCCTCAGTGCCCAGGAGATTGCAAATCACTTAAAAAATAAGAGCGATACAATTTGTGATAAAATCTCCACTCTACAGATAACTCCCCCACCTAACAACCCATGTTCAGAAGTACACTCAACACTACCCTTATTCAACCCTGCTACTACAGATGAGGTTGCTAAATTCTCTTCTAACGCCCACATAACCACCTGTCCCCTGGACCCTATTCTCTCTCAAATACTGCGGTCCCCCTCTGCCTCTATCCTACACTCTCTAACTCACATCTTCAATCTCTCCCTTTCTTCTGGAACCTTCGCTAACACACTAAAACACACACTAGTCATCCCCATACTTAAAAAGCCTTCCTTCGCCCCCACCAATCTTAACAACCTGAGCCCCATCTCCTTGCTCCCCTTTCCTCCAAACTCATTGAACGCCCGATCTACAACCGAGTGACCACCTCATTATGAATAACCTTTTTGATCCCCTTCAGTCTGGATTATGCACTCAACACTCCACAGAAACTGCTCTCCTCACAAACAATTTACTAATAGCAAAAACCAATGGACACTATTCTGTATTCCTACTTCAGGACCTTTCGGCTGCCTTTTGATACGGTTGACCACCCCCTCCTCCTTTACACTCTTGGTATCTGTGACTGTGCTCTTCGTTGGTTCTCATTCTACTGCACCTTCAGTGTCACTCACAATTCTACTTCTTCCTTCTCCTCTTCCGGTCTGTTGGGGTTCCCCAAGGTTCTGTTCTTGGATCTCTCCTATTCTTAATCTACACTTTCAACTTGGGTCAGCTGATAGCCTCCCATGGCTTTCAATATAATTTCTACGCTGACGGCACCCAAACCTATCTCTCTACCCCTCAGCTCACAACATCAGTCTCCTCACGCATCACTAACTTACTGACCGAGATATCAGTCTGGATGTCACACCACTTCCTCAAACTTAATCTATCCAAAACTGAGTGCCTAATATTTCCTCCCCCACATGCCCCTTCCCCTGACTTCTCTGTCAAGATCAATGGCACAACCATCAACCCATCCCCGCATGCCAGGGTGCTAGGTGTAATCCTTGACTCTGAACTCTCCTTTCAGCCCCACATCCAATCACTTTCCAAAGCTTGCCATCTCACCCTCCGCAACATCTCCAAAATACAACCCTTCCTAACCAATGACACCACAAAGCTCCTAATCCACTCCCAGGTTATCTCTTACATAGGCTTTCCCCCCAGCAGTCCATCGTGAATGCTGCTGCCAGGCTCATCCATGTTACCAACCGTTCAGTGTCTGCCAATCCCTACACTGGCTGCCACTCACCCAATTAATTAAATTCAAAATACTAACAACTTACAAAGCCATCTACAACTCGGCCCCCAGCTGCATCACTAACCTAGTCTCAAAATACCAACCAAATCGCTCTCTTCGTTCTTCCCAAGACCATCTGCTCTCTAGTTCTCTTGCCACCTTCTCCCATGCTCACCTGCAGGATTTCTCCCAAGCCTCTTCCATCCTATGGGATTCCCTACCCCAATCTGTCCTATCTCCTACTCTGTCCACTTTTAGGCGATCCCTGAAAAAAACATTTCTCTTCAGAGAAGCCTATCCTGCCTCCACCTAACAACTATACATATATTTTCTCCATCAGCTCATCCCCCACAGTTATTACCTTTTGTATCACTTACCACTCCCCTTTTAGATTGTAAGCTCTAACTAGCAGGGCCCTCGGATTCCTCATGTACTCAACTGTACTGTAAATGTACTGTTTGCCCTCACGTTGTAAAGCGTTGCGCAAATGGTTGGCGCTATATAAATCTTGTATAATAATATTAGACCTAATATGGCCACACTGGGTGAATGAGATTGACCTAACATGGCCACATGGCCAAAACCGAGCTCATCCCAAGCTGTGATGCACTGTCATTTCTTGAGCAAACTGACAGACTAAAGTTGCATATGCATGGTTAACACATGATCAATCTTCATGAGTAATAAAATATACTTCTGATTTCAGAAATGCATGTTATTGCCTCCTGGGTCCTGCGGCCTACCCAAGCATCAAAATTAGCTATTCATGCTTCACCTCTCCGACAGGTTTCTCTAGTAATACATTTCTGCTCACCTCCCGTTACATTAACCTCTTGCCGTCCGCCTGCTGTTTATAAACGGCAGGATGGTGGCACTCCAGGGGTGGGTTGCCGTTCATAAACAGCACCCGCCATTTCTAGCTGTGCGCGCTCCCTGCGAGCGCGCAGGACCGCAATCCGGTGCCCGCTGTGTCCTCCGGACACAGTGAAACACCGATCGTCGGACGAGACCTCTGTACGATGTCCCGATCATGTGATCACTGATTGGCCAATCAGTGATCACCTGCAAAGTAGTAAGCAAGATGTCACTTGTGACATCATTGCTTACTACATGCGAAATCTGTGAATGATCACAGAGGTCACATGGTACAAGGCTATTCACAACAGCCTTGTACCATGTGACAAGCTGTGACCAATCACAGCTCACTCAGTATTTCTCAATGGCTGCAAGAATGCAGACAGAGAGAAAGAGAAATGATTGCTTTTACATCCTATATGGGTGTAAAAGCAATCACTGTAAAAAAAAAAAATCTTCATCACCCCCCACAAGTAGTACAGTGTCACCATGGTGACACTGTACTGCTAGGGTGACAGTATGTACAAAAAAAACAAAAAACAAATAATAATATAAAAAAAAAAATTAAAATGTAAAGAAATGTTTAAAAATTATACTTTTTGGTTATAAACTAAGTTGGCTTATTTTTTTTTTACTAAAAATATAACGAAATACATTTTGGCCAAGATTTATGATGAAAGATTATTGATTTGCAAAATTTTATAAGAAAAACACTTTTTTTCAAAATTTTTGGACTTTTTCATTTACATAGCAAAAAAAATAAAAATCCCAGCGGTGAATAAATACCACAAAATAAAGCTTTATCTGTCTCAAAAAAAATGGTAAAAAAATTTCATATGGGTACAGTGTTGCATGACCGCGCAATTGTCATTCAAAGTGTGATAGCGCTGAAAGCTGAAAATTGGCCTGGACAGGAAGGGGGTAAAAGTGTCCAGACAGGAAGTGGTTAACAAATGACCCTTTTGTATATAATATAAGCTTGTGACTTTACCACATTACTTGGGAGACAGTTTTAGCAATGCATTAAAACTTTATAATGCAAACGAGTACAATTTTTAAAAAGTTATTTACAAACAAAAACAATGAAATTATATTTTTTTTGCTCAGAGCCTTATCTAATATCTCTTCAGTTCTGACAGGAATCTGCAGATGAGTGTACAGGTGAGTGAATATTCTGGTCTTACCTGGCTTGCTTCATCCATTGCCTTGCTATTGATGTTGAGAAGAGCATGGTTGATACGAAAGACGATCCAATCAAACAGGGCGCTGTACAAAGACTTTGCTAAGGAGTCCCTTACTGTAATAGCCTAGAAAAGAACATAAAAAGGTTGTACTTTTATTCTCACATACAGCAAAACCTACAATCTTGGGAGATGAGAGGAAAAACTCACCTCTGGCAAACGATAAGGCAAGATGAGTTTTTCTCCAACTGTAACAGTTTTCCTGGTAATCAAAGCATCCAGTAACATCTCTTCTCGCACCTGAAATTTACATAAAAGGATTACATTAAATCCATTAGTCAGTCCAATCAAAACTGAAATTTCAGTTACGAACGTAGGCTGAATTCACCCATGGTGCGGTGACAGGTGTTTTACTTCATTGTAAAATGCCTGTCATGGCAAGAAAACACAGTAAACAATTGTTTCTTGTGTGTCCCATTCGCACTGCAATGCAGCTCACAGCTGTACTGTACGCACTGTACAGCGGCAAAGTGCGCTGCTGTTCAGTGACATAAAGTGTATTTTTGTACACTTCAAATAAAGCGTGTAAGCAAAAAAAAAAAAAATAGGGAGCTGCCTGATGTGCTGAATTGTGCACCACACTGTCCCCTACCGCAGTCGGAACAGACAGATGCCAGAGACATAAAGCGCTCCAATAGCTGTCTGTTCTAGAGTGAATCGGTGAGATATACCTTATCAATTTTACAGGCATGACTGATACCCTGAACAGAGTCTTGCCTGCTGTTACTGCCTTTGCACAAAACTTTAAACAGGAATAGCAAGATTCCCTGTAATGGCTATGACAGTGGACTTGACAGCTCTGAAACTATTTTCATGCAGGAACCAGAGAGGACACAAAGTTGGGTGAGTTCCATTTTTTATATATATATAAAACTGGTACTAAAAGAAAATAGAGGCCTAAATACCAAAACATCTGCACAAAAAGTAAGTATGTGTATTGAAGCTTGTTGAATGTAACCTAAACCAATTTTATTACTACAAACTGGGGGGGAAGGGGTATCGTGCTCTGATATCAAACAGTAAATTATCTGTATGTGTCCCTAAGAAGGTCTTTGTTTTGTACACAGTAACTAACAGTGAATCTTCTGTTTGGTGTCATTTTTAGATATAATCCATCCCAGACAGCAGAACGCCAAACTTGACTCTGAACTTGCAAAGAGAATAAGCTGTATTTCTTATTAAAGTAAACTTACTGAATTTAGAATTAAAAGTAAAATTACATTGCATAGCATGTCTTTGTAGATGTAGACCATGGAGCAATATAAACATTAACTATGAATATTGACACGACTTATACAAACTAGCACACAGAAAATAAACATAGACAGATAGTAAAAGTAAAATTCCAGGAATTACACAAAATCAACCCTTGCAGTGGGGTCCCACCGCACTGCAAGGGTTAAGGCGTCTTTACAATGCTTCATGTAGATGGAGAGAGTCTGCCAGAACCAGGAATAATAGTATTACACTTTATCCCTTCACCCCTGGAATAAATGAGCATTTGAAGTATAACTATAGGCAAAACTTTTTCTCCCCATTTTGGATAGAGTGAGGGAGGGTTATAATCACAGTTTCTTTTTTTTTTTTGCCCATCTGTGTCCCATTGGCAGATATACCTTTACTTCCTGTCCCAAAGCCAAAACAGGAAGAGAGAGCAGAAATCCCTAAAGGCTCTGGGCTTTTTACCTTCATGCATTCTATGCATGAAGGTTAAAAACCTGTGTGAAGAATCTCCCCCCCCAGCCTTTCCAATATTTACCTGAGCCCATTGCGATCTAGCAATATGCACAAGAGTCTCTGTTCTACGGAAACTCTCCATCTTCATTGGCTGAGACAGCAGAGGAATCCATTGGCTTCCACTGCTGTCAATCACAGCCAGTGAGCCAATGAGGAAAGGGGGTGGGGCCGAGCTGTAGCTGTGTGTGTGAATGTTGATGTAGAGCAGCAGCTCAGGAGTGAGTCTGCATGGATACCCCCCAAAGCAAGACTCTTGCTCTTGGGAACCTAGCAGGAGAAAGGGGCCAAAAGCGCCGGCATGGGACCCGAGAAGAGGAGGACCAGGGCTGCTCTCTACAAAACCACTGCATGGAGCAGGTAAGTATAACGTGTTTTTCTTTTTTTTTTTATAAGAATTTGCGTTAATATCACTTTACAGTGTATATGTGTAGCCAAAACGTTTTTTTTTTTCTTTAGCTTTTGCTGTCTTGTCATGCTATGGAAATTTTCCTTCACTTCCCCTCTTGGTGATGCAACAGAAGTGAGAGGTAATCTCCCCACAGTAAGGAAATTTCTGTGTTAGGTCTGGTGCCCAACCTGCAACCCCTGAGACACCAATTTGTTTTTCTCTATTGCCCTGTTATAGCAGCTATGTCTAGCATTCTCATTTAATATGTCTCCAGTCTCTGGTAGTATCCTGCAGCATGTCTGCAGTCTCTCACCATCTCTTCTATAATGGTACAGGAGATGTTTAAAGACTGCAGTCATGATAGAAGAGATGGTGTGAGACTGAAGACATGTCTGTAGTCTCTGATCATCTCCTGTACCATGTATGCCAGTCTCTAACCATCTCCTGTATTATATCCACAGTCTCTGACCATCTCCTGTATCCTGTCCGCTGTCTCTGAACACCCCTTGTATTATGTCCACAGTCTCTGAACATCTCTTGTATCATATCAGCAGTCTTTGACCATTTCTTGTATCATGTCTTATATCATATCATCTATATTGCTTGACTATATCCTGTTGTGTGTCTTTTATGTGCAGCCCTTTGATATTATGTTGAGGGACAAACTTGAGCCCCCCCCCCCCCCCCCCCCCATCAAGAAAGTTGACCACCAATGGTCTAAAGCTAGCCATGCACCATCCAAACTAAAGAGCATGGATGGAGGAATCTCCTCTTCTGGCTATTATACCTGAACAGTGACTGCATCTCATTGTTTAATACAGTGCCTTGAAATAGTATTCATACCCCTTTAAATTTACCACATTTTATCGTGTTACAACCAAAAATGTAAATGTATTTTATTGGGATTTTATGTGATAGACCAACACAAAGTGGCACATAATTATGAAGTTGAAGGAAAATGATAAATGGCTTTCAACATTTTTTTTACAAATAAATATCTGAAAAGTGTGGAGTGCATTTGTATTCAGCCCAAAAACATAAAAAAACTATTATAGCGCAAATGGAGAGAGTGATTAAGTCCCAAGCCATAGTCTCTGTAAGGTGGATCCAAGTGTGTTATTCCACTTCTATAATGGCTGCAGCTCTTCCAACTGGGTATTGGATATCTCTGTGCACTAAAACAATAAATAGAAGGTGCAGCCATCTAAGTGTATCAATTTAATTAAAAACAAGTAAAGGAAAGGGTTAAAATACACTCACAAGGATGAGAGTAATTGGGCATATCATCAGTCCTTATTCGCTGGAAAGGTGGAGTAAAGTTGGACTGTTTTAAGGATACATCTCATCCATCCATCCAGCCGCCTGTCCACCAAGGCTTGCCAGCGAATAAGGACTGATGATATGCCCATTTACTCTCATCCTTGTGAGTGTATTTTAACCCTTTCCTTTACTTGTTTTTAATTAAATTGATACACTTAGATGGCGGCGACTTCAGTTTGTTTATTGTTTTATTTGTATTCAGCCCCCCCGAGTCAATACTCTATAGGACCACCTTTCGCTGTAATTACAGCTGCAAGTCTTTTTGAGTATGTCTCTACAGCTTTGCACATCTAGAGCGTAATATTTTTACCCTTTCTTCTTTGCAAAATAACTCAAGCTCTGTCAGATTGGACGGAGAGCGTCTGTGAACAGCAATTTTCAAGTCTTGCCACACATTCTCAATTGGATTTAGGTCTGGACTTTGACTGGGCCATTCTAACACATGAATATGCCTTGATTTAAACCACTGCATTGTAGCTCTGGCTGTATGTTTAGGGTTGTGGTTCTGCTGGAAGGTGAACTTCCGCTCCAGTCTCAAGTCATTTGCAGACTCAAACAGGTTTTCTTCTAAGATTGCCCTGTATTTGGCTCCATCCATCTTCTCATTAACTCTGATCAGTTTCCCTGTCCCTGCTGAAGAAAAGCATCCCCACAACCTGATGCTGCCACCACCATGTTTCACGGTGGGGATGGTGTGTTCAGGGTGATGTGCAGTGTTAGTTTTCTGCCACACATAGCGTTTTGCGTTTAGGCCAAAAAGTTCAGTTTTTGTTCTTGTCTGACCAAAGCACCTTCTTCCAATGCTGTCCCCACATGGCTTCTGGCAGATTGCAAACAAGACTTCTTATGGCTTTCTTTCAACAATGACTTTCTTCTTGCAACTCTTCCATAAAGGCCAGATTTGTGGAGTACACGACTAATAGTTGTCCTGTGGACAGATTTTCCCACCTGAGCTGTGGATCTCTGCAGCTCCTCCAGAGTTACCATGGGCCTCTTGGCTGCTTCTCTGACTAATGCTCTCCTTGTTCGGCCTGTCAGTTTAGGTGGACGACCATGTCTTGCTCTATGAGATGTTCAAAGCTTGGGATATTTTCTGTTCTTTTTTTATAACCTAACCCTGCTTTAAACTTCTCCGCAACTTTACCGACCTTTCTGGTGTGTTCTGTGGGCCTTGTGATGCTGTTTGTTCACTAATGTTCTCTAGCAAACCTCTGATGGCTTCACAGAACATTATTATTTATACTGAGATTAAATTACACATAGGTGGACTCTATTTACTAACTAGATGACTTCTGAAGGCAATTGGTTCCACTAGATTTTAGTTAGGGGTACCAGAGTAAAGGGAGCTGAATACAATGTATGCCACACACTTCAGATATTTGTAAAAAAAATTTGAAAACCATTTATCATTTTCCTTCCACTTCACAATTATGTGCCACTCTGTATTGGTCTATCACATAAAATCCCAATAAAATATATTTATGATTTTGGTTGTTACATGACAACATGTGGAAAATTTTAATGGGTATGAATACTTTAAGACACTGTACCAACAATTTCTGCTTCCGGCTCTGACACAAGTTAATTGAAAAATTGTGGTTTGTCTAATCAGGTGGTGCAAACAGGGCGACCCAGGGCTCAAATTTTGAGCCGTGTATAACGGCTTAATCCTTCCCTATGCCAACTAAAACTTATGAATATTTAAAAGGTGTAATGTAAAGGTAAAACTTTCTTAAGTGTAGACAATTTGTCTAATATGAAAACAAGGTTGGTGGTAAAGTCTTTGAAAAAAAAAATTGCTGCAGAAACCTATGCAGCACTGTAACCTAAATTGCAACGTTACGTTTAACAGACAAGGGCTTCAGGGTAAAGGTAACCCGACTACAAGACCTTTCCCACTTTAACTTCTATTTGTTTCATGTGCTTACCAAGGAATGCCCATTGAATTCTCTTTTCTTACAACTACTGCCTTGTAGCCTCTAGCCAAGCATACAGATAGCATGGCCAGATAAACATGGATAATCCATTTACAACATGTTCATTTGTTTTACATCATCCTTGTATGTTTGTACTGCTGCTGTGCTATATGGTAACCAAATTATATTGGATTAAGCAAAAATCTACATCAAATCAAACCAAGCTAAAGTATGCTTTAAATCCATTTCTAGAATTTAAAGCCCCATACACACTGCCGAATATCGGGCGATATCGGCCGGTTCAACAGAAACTGACCGACAGTAGGCTTGTGTATACAGCAGCCGGTCAGACATAAACCGAATATTCGTCCGGCTTCTGACGAAGGGGCATGACCGAAAAAGGTCTGCCGATCAGCTTCCAATCAGTGTTCTCTGCCGAAGGGGGGGGGGGGGGGGGCAACAATCACTGTACTAACAACGCTTGTGTTAGTATAGCCATCTGTCAGTTTTTTTTGTTTCATTCAGCCTACTGGGTTGAAAGAAAAAAAACTGACCGTGTGTACGGGGCATAAGGGTCCATGCACACTGGCTTAAAAATCGCAGCTTCTACAGGAGTTTTGTGTTTTGCCTGTAGAAGCAGTTCAATGTTATCCTATGTGTCCATGCACATTAGGACATGAAGAGTCATATTTTATGCTCAGCATTTAGAGGCAGGGAAAAAAACTTCTAGTTTGTGTTTTTGATTGGAGTTTTCTGGCAGAAAAAATGCTAAACACACTTAAATGTGCCTACACATGTGTACAAAAATGTTCCGCATGAGTGTTTTTTTTAAGCCCAGTGTGCATGAAGCCTTAATTCTCGAAATTCGGCTGGTCCGGAAGAAAGTGGCCAAATTTTGATCAGTGTGGGCTCTTCTGTTTCATAGAAGTACACTGTTTAATCAGCTTCTGTTGAAGGGACATGTTGGACAATTTCTTCCATTGATCAGCAGCTGCAGACGCTGATCAGTGTATTCTGACTATAGCAAGTGCTGATGTCAGAACACTGTGTCAAAGCGGGAGGTAACCTTAACCATACACATTTAAATCACTCAATTTCCCCAATCAACAGAGCTGATGGAGGAATTTTCACTGACGACTACTGCATCCTGACAGCCAGCACCCATAGCTGCCTAAATATCCAAAGAGTGGCTGCATCTGATTAGCAGCAATCATTGTTTAATTGACAATTTTCCACCAAGTTCCCTGGAAGTTTGATAAGTCAGGTAATGCTGACAGGGTCACCCATGGCTTAAATTTTGGCCAATTCAGCAGCGATCGTCCAAGATTTGAGCTGTGAATAGCGAACTTAAATTCCAGTTTTTTTGAAAACTCTGAAAATCCTATATTGTAAAAACCAGGGCAGCAATGAATAATCTTTATAATCAGTATCCATGACCCAATTTAATTTATGTGGGCTTTTGAAATCTCCATTTTGACAAAATAATTTATGAAAAAAACCTTTTTTTTTTTTTTTTTATCTTCCATACATGTGCACGATTACAAAGTGAATATTCACAAAAGCTGGCCATACACTTTTTTTTTTTTTCTTCATTCAGCCAGCAGTCCAACATATTCCTTCAGCCACACTACGCAGAGCGGGAGAGACAAATCCCCCAGCGTGTCCATTGTGCTCTGAAGGCTGCTGCAGGTGTCTGTTAGAATACCTGAACAGTGGTTGTAGCTGCTTTTTTATCTGGCTCCTTCAATTTTTCATTCGAAGAATGTCAGAAGGGAGGGGGCCAAAAGGCACATCCACATAGCGAATTTTACCAAGTTACTGAAGAAATTTGTATAGTGTAGGGTCAGTGTTAGTTTCAGCATATTTACTAACCTAAATGAAAACTCAAAGAACATGCTCTATTCCTTTAGTAAATCAACACCAGTATTTTACATTTCTAAAGTAGTAGAGGAGAAGGCAGAACACGGAATCTAAAAACATTTCAATTTAGGAAACTGGATGTCTGTTCAAAGGAAACAGGAAAACTAAATAAATTCCATTTCTGAAGCTGGCTGCTCTGGTGACCCATATTTTAGCCTTAAAGCCTATTTCCATTTTTGCCGGCAAATTTGAGAAAACACCACTTAATGAAGATCTTCGTGCATCGTGCAGTAAATTATGGCAAACAGCTGCCCAACCTCCTCATAAACAAAGACAAACTAGTAGAATTTTTCTTGTTGGAGGGTTCAGAATAGACAGTTGAAAAAAAAAAAAAATACAAGTTGCAGCTTATCTTTTAAAATTATGCTTTGTGAATGGGGACATATAACAACTATAAAGCAGGTCTTATCCCAATTTGGCTGCAAAAGTGGAAATACACATAAAATAAGTCACAGAGTTGGAGCTCTAAATAATTCCCTTTCTACTCTCATCCTAAAGCGGTAGACAGGAATGCATTATGGGAACATACTATAGCAAAATAGCATTCTCGTTAATGCTCCCAGATTATTACAGTATGTTAATGATGTGGGAGCCAGCTTTGTACATAAAAGGTTATGTGTAGGTTATTCATTACAGCAATCTGAGACTGAAAAGAACAAAAGCATTTAAACATCTGGTGAAAAATACTGGATTCTAAAAACCAATCACACACACACACACACACACAACACAGATGTCTGAAAAGCTACCAGTTATCAGACAAAAGCACGGTTTAATCTATGTAGGATTATAGAATGCATCCAGTGCACATCAACAGAATAACAAACAACAAGGCTTGGTAGACTAAGAGACACTTAAAGCGGAGTTCCACTCAACCTATCAAAAAATAAAAGTCAGCAGCTACAAAAACTGTAGCTGCTGACTTTTAAGAAAAAAAAACAGCCACTTACCTGTCCCTCGGTCCCGGGGTGTGTCCCCCGAAGCTCGTTTCACCAGCCGTCCTGTATTCCACAGGAGGCCGGCATCTTCAGTGTGGGCACCCACCTGTGATAGCTTGCAGCTTCACAGCCAGGTACCCACCCACTGCGCATGCGCGAGTAGCGCTGCGCTTCATGATTGGTCCTGTAGTCTTCTGGGACCTGTCATGTGTCCCAAAAGACTACAGGGAGGGAGGGAGGACACCTTCCGCTTCCGATCACCTAGGTGATCGGACCGGAAGTGGGAGTGGGTACCTGTCAAATTTGGGTACCCGCTCCCTACCCCCCCCCCGCCCCCCAAAGGTGCCAATCCTTAATGAGGAGCAGTCCTTAAAGCGAACCTCCTCTTTTGGGTGGAGCTCCGCTTTAAGACAAGTACACACTACTACTGTACAACCTAGCAGGCTGAACGAAAAAAAAAAAAAAAAACTGACAGCTCAAGAGGAGCCACTGTACTTACTATTCAGGGGCCAATAGGCAAACCTTTTTTGGTCATGCTCCTTCAACAGAAGCCGGACAGATGTTCAGTTTTCTATTGAACTGGCTGCTGTACACAATGGCTGAATGTCAGCTGGATTCTACTGAACTGCCGATGCCATCCAACATTTGGCCCGCATGTGCTAGGCTTAAGTGGGAGATTTACTAAAATAGGGGCACTCGGAATCTGATGCAGCTGTGCACGGTAGCCAATCAGCTTCTAACTTCAGCTTGTTCAATTAAGCTTTCACAATAAAACCTGGAAGCCGGTTGGTTTCTCTGCAGAGCTGCACCAACTTTTGAACTCTCCAGATTTAGTAAATCTCCCCCTAATCGTGAAAACTGCAACCTGGAAGGAAAGTAATGGAAAAAGAAAGAATAAATAAAGAACACCACAGATGATAGGTCTACAGAAGACAGAGGCAGTGCTTTAATGGGCGTGGTAAACATGCAAAGCAAATACATTAAGAACCTTTAGAATGAATTCAGAATGCAGGCATTTTTGCTGCAGGGAAATTGAAAAAGTGGAACAGATTTATGTGATAATGGAGCCCAACTTCAAACATCCCTATTAGGTTTATTTATGTTAGGAGAGTTACGTTGCCGGAGGGGTTTATATTAAGATGACTTTATGAGGACAAAGTAAGGAAGGAGCGTTTTCACCTGACCCGGGCCTGTCAAAGTTGGTAGACTCGTACTACAAATTAGACAGTATGAATCATGAGACAACGAGAGAGATCAGGACGCAGAAAGTGTTGTAAAGTCAAAGAGACAATACTACTCTTAACTTACACACACACACTAAAACATTTGTTAATTAGTACTGTTCTGCACCTTTGACAACCTCTGTAGAACAGCCAGTCAATATGGGAAAAAAACTAAAAAACAATGCTGCATCTGGTGAACAAATGGTATTCATTACAAGCAGCTTGCCAACAGACACATGCAAGTATTAAAAGGAGCAACATGAATTATTCCTCTATTGCAAAACACGCACAGACCACCTCTACAAATATGTCTCTACCAATAAGACAGCAGTGTGGAGTGGAAAATATGCAGATGAAAAATCATTCTCGACTTACCTTCAGAAGATCAGATACAATGCGTAGAGTATCTGGGTTGGAAATGTCAATTGATTCATCTCTGTATGTATGTTTTTCTCTTGTACTGGATGTTTCCAAGGTGAAGGATGGCAGACAGGAGAGACACAATCCTATTGTGTGTAAAAGAAAGCATATTCTCCACATGCAGAAACAATTTATCAGAAGAAAAATTCATGGCAAACCATAAAAGGAGAATCTAGATTAGGATCACCAGGAACCTACAAAATGTCAATGCACAGTTGCTGTGCATTGCAAAAAACAAAACTACAAGGAGAATGTAATTTACATATCAGTTGCCTACAAGTCTGAGAGGGCTGCCATTGCCCCTTTTCAAAACAGATTTGGTCATCCAAGAAAAGGATGGCCATTGGGGGCCATACACCCTTCGATAAATGACCAAATCCTTTTCCAAATCATCTCTACTGATTGGAAGGATAGTCAGCAACATAATGAATCAACATGCTACAGAGGCGTAAGTGGAATTGCATCGAAAGTTACGATGGTCTCTTATAACTAATAGATTGTTTTTTTTCTCCTAATCCGATTGATGGAAATTTAATCAAAGTTATGACCAAATAAGCTCAGCGCTGCCGACTGACACAAAACATTTGATCATTTTCTGCCCTGGCTGATTGACACAGTTTAATCAAACCCAATCTAAACCAAGTCTAAACAGATCAGAAGGGAAGTTATGACCAAATGTCACACTGATCGGATAATAAACTCGAAGCGTGTATGGCCACCACTTGATGGGTGTTTGGCTCAAATTGGAAACCCTGGAGTCCAAATTAATATTATTATACAGGATTCATACAGTGCCAACAGATTGCGCAGCACTTTACAATATAAAGGGGGACAGTACAATTACAATACAGAAGGAATAGGAAGGCAAATATAAGCAAAAAAAACGTATAGATCAAATAATACCTCCATCTAAACTCCCTGAAACCCATGTTTGTTTTTTCAATGAGCACAGTAAAGAATTATAAGTGAACTATTAGAGTCACCATGCTGCAACACAGAAAAGGAATCTGATATACCGATAGAACCTTCTTTTTATGTGTTTTTCCCTTATGCTTGAAATCAATGGAAACGCACCAAACCACATGTCAATGAGCATTAATGTGCGTTGTCACAAGTTTTTTTATATACATTGCAAAGCATTTTGTTTTGGCTGTCAATGTACTTCATGTGCACACTAATATGAAACTTAGCACATGCACTGACATGCATTTTGATGCATTTCCATTAATTTTAATGGCAACTACATCATAGAAAAGACACATTGGTATGAATAGACCCTAAGCTGGCTATGTAAAATCTCAGGCATTGTACCCATTGTTCTTTTAACCACTTCCAGACCGGACACTTTTACCCCCTTCCTGACCAGGGCAATTTTCAGCTTTTAGCGCTATCACACTTTGAATGACAATTGCGCGGTCATGCAATACTGTACCCAAATTAATTTTTTACCATTTTTTTTAGACAGATAAAGCTTTATTTTGGTGGTATTTATTCACCACTGGGATTTGTATTTTTTTTGCTATGTAAATGAAATGTCCAAAAAATTTTTAAAAAAGTGTTTTTTTAATAAAATTTTGCAAATAAATAATATTTCATCATAAATCTTAGCCAAAATTTATTCCGTTATCTTTTTAGTAAAAAAAAAAAAAAAATCCAAATTAGTTTATAAGCAAAAATTATAATAATTTTTATACATTTTTTTTTTTTTTACATTTTTTATTTTATTTTTTTTGATATTATTATTTTTTATTTATTTTTTTTTTTTTTTACATACTGTCACCCTAGCAGTACAGTGTCACCATGGTGACACTGTACTACTTGTGAGGGGTGATAAAGATTTTTTTTTTTTTTTACACTGATTGCTTTTACACCCATATAGGATGTAAAAAGCAATCATTTCTCTTTCTCTCTGTGTGCATTCCTGCACTCATTGAGAAATACAGAGTGAGCTGTGATTGGTCACAGCTTGTCACATGGTACAAGGCTTTTGTGAATAGCCTTGTACCATGTGACCTCTGTGATCATTCACAGACTTCACACGTAGTAAGCAATGATGTCAGAAGTGACATCTTGCTTACTACTTTGCATGTGATCACTGATTGGCCAATCAGTGATCACATGAACGGGACCTCGTACAGAGGTCCCGTCCGACGATCGGTGTTTCACTGTGTCCGGAGGACACAGCGGGCACCGGATCGCGGTGCTGCGCGCTCCCAGGGAGCGCGCACAAGCAGGGTGCGGGGAGGCCGTTCATAGACGGCCACCCGACCCTGCACACTGCCACCGTCCGGCCGTTTATATACAACGGCCGGTCGGGAAGTGGTTAAACACATGTACACTCAGTGTTGTTACCCATTTAAAAGTCAACTGGAGTATGAATGTCTAAAAGGGGCTCCTTTTCTTTATCCCTGTGGTTTCTTTTATCACTGTGATTAGCCTGACATTTCCTGATGAGCCCCTGAAAATTCTAAATATTCAGCATATTACACTAATCAGCCATAACTTTATGACCACTCACCTAATATATGTAGATCCCCCTTTTGCCTCCAAAACAGCCCTGACCCATCGAGGCATGAACTCCACTAGAACTCTGAAAGTACGCTATGGTTTTTTGCACAAAGTCGTCAGTAGCAGATCGATCACAACCTGTAAGTTGCGAGGTGAGGCCTCTAAATCAGATTTGTTTTTCCAGGACATCCTAGAGATGTTAGATTGGATTGAGATTTGGAGAATTTGGAGGCAAGGTCAGTACCTTAAACTCATCGGTGTGCTCCGCAAACCATTACCGAGACATTTTGTAGTGTCGCAGGGCACATAATTCTGCTGAAATAAGTCACTACCATCAGGGAATACGGTTTCCATGAAGGGGTGTATTTGGTCAGCAACAATGTTGAGATAGGTGTTACATGTTATAGTAACATTCACATGAATGGCAGGACCCAAGGTTTCCCAGCACAAAACTGCCTAAAGCATCACCCTGCCTTCTCCAGCTTGCTTTCTTTTCATCCTGCTTGCATATTTTTCCCAGGTAAATGACAAACACAGACCTGGCCAGCCCCATACACAAAAAACTGCAGTGCCCATTTTTTTTTCTGCTTTCAACACATTCACGTAGGGTTTACTTGTGGAATAATTTATCCTACTGACTTTTAGATGCCATTGTAATGAGATAATAAATTTTATTCACCTAACCCGTCAGTGGTCATACAGGTATGGCTATTCGGTGTACATATGTAAAAACTATTTGCTTAGTAGCTTGCTTTGTCAGTTGTAAAACTTTAAAAAACCCTAGGATTTTGTTTTCATGGCTTACTACCATAATATGGGTCCAAGCACACTAGGGGCAGAAAAAAATGTCAGAACCTTGGGCAGAAAAAGCAGCAGAAAAAATGTGCACTGTGGCCATGATCCTAAAAATGATACATACATATGATGCCAAACTGGCAGATTATTTTTCTTGTTAGGTTTCATGTATTACAAAATTACTACAATGGTATACTGTGTATATGATTGGCCATTGGCAGATTTTTTTGATTTTGTTATATATCCTCTAAAATAAAAGCCCACTGGCGTGCTGCATCTGACACTGTACTGTACAAAGCGGCGAGGATTTGAATCTACAGGTAATATTGCAATGATCTATACAGTAAAGATAAAAAGGGTGTTGACATCAGACAATTAATGTCTCACCACTCTTTGGGAGAGGCTCTAATGTACTCTAGAGATTGCATGCAGAACTTACTGTCTACGTGTAGCTGACAGGAAACCAACCATCTCCATTGCCAACTGCAGTCGTTCAAAATCATGTCTGAGGTCTTCGCCCTCCCCACTTAAGGAGTCCTGTAAAATTCAGATAAAGTCACAACTTTAGATAGTAAAAACAAGATCTCACTGTGCTATAACTACAAGACTTCATTGTCCAGCACTGCACAATAATCACAATGCAAAATATAAACAGTCATAACGTGAATCAAAGGCATAATTGAAAAACAAGACACAGTGTTACAAGGTGAACAAAATCTGCACAATCAACTCACTGTTTCATCTTCACAACTGTACTCTCCCCAGCTCTGTCTCTGTGGCTTGCGTGTCCTCTGGAAATATGATGGAAAATGTGACAGTGCAAAAAAATAAGAAAATAGATTACTACAGAACGCTGGTAATCTGCTGCTACTATGCAAGGCAATTCAGTCTTACGACCTGTTCACACTTGTCTTCTTTCCAGTGCTACAACATAAGTATTGTGGAAATCCCACTCATTACAGGGTGGCTAATTCAAATACTGGATATGCCCTATAGCTCAGCACATTCTGTTAATTAAAACAGAACATGTAGTCATTTTTTTGTGTTAACGTGTTATTCAGGCCAAATGTTTTGAATGATATACTGTATAAAAAAAAATAAAAACACACTTTTCTTCATTTTTTGTGTACTTGTAATGCAATGCTTCTGCATTATATAAAAAAAAAAAAATATCCATTCTTAAAATATTCTGCACCATCCTGATGGACTAATGAACAAATAAACAAATAAACTGCATATTACCAAAGTTGAAGGGATATAACCCCCAAAAATTTAATATATTGTAGCTCACCAATCCTTAAATGTGGTGGCTGCGTTTGTTTTTTTTCCTCTATTTTCACCTACTGATCTAGTCAGTAACACACATCCTCTGTTAGGGTGTCTCCACTCCACTGGAGGAGCAACGGAGACACCTTTGGACAGCAGCATTGCCACTCTGAGGAGAGGGTAGTGTTATATGCACTTGTACATCGATAGCCTTGATTAAAAAATAAAAGCTGAACTCCAGCTAACACTTTTCAAGGAGTTACAGCAACCATTTTATTTACTTTTGGAATAAAGGTTTTACATAAAAGCTGACCATTGGCAGAACCGGTAGACAGTGTTAAATACTTTGTCTCAACCCTCTACCTGCCCCTTTTACTAGACAGCTTGGTATATTAACCATTTAATCTCTGGAATATTTTACACTCTTCATGACCAGGCCACATTTTGCTATTCGGCACTTTGCTACTTTAACTGGCAATTGTGCGGTCATATAACACTGTGTTCAAACTAAATTTATATAATTTTCAAATAGAGCTTTCTTTTGGTGGTATCTGATCACCAATGGGTTTTTTTTTTATATTTTATTATATAAACAAAAAAGACCAGGACTTTCGAAAAAAAAAAAAAATTGTTTTTACCTTTCTGTTATAAAACATATCCCAATATAAAATTAAAAAAAAAAAAAAAAAAAAAAAATTTATAAATTTACATGTGTTTGGTAGAAAAAAAAAAAGAATCCAATAAGTGTATATTAATTGGTTTGCAAGTTATAGCACCTACAAACTATGGGATATATACTGAAATTTAAATTTATTTATTTTTATATTAGTGATACTAGTAATGTTGGCAAATCGGTGACCTATAGTGGGACTGTGATAGCGCGGCAGGCAAGCTCACACTGACGCTGGGGGGGAATTAACTGTCGCTGACATCACCAATGACACTAATACAGTGATCAGTGCTAATAATATACACTGTCACTGTACTAAAGACACTACACATTGCTTTGTTTCTTTTCCCTGCTTTGCAAGAAAAAGAAAGCAATCATTCCCTCTGTTCAGAGCTCTGTGTTTATCAACACAGGGCTCTAAGCTGTGACTCGACACAGCCAATGATTCATGGCCAGGGTCTGTTGACAAACACCCGCTGTGTCAAATAACAGCGGGAGTAGGTGGGCTGGGGCATGTGCCGGAAACAGGCAGCGATGCACCACTATGTCGCTGTGCCTGTAGCTGCCGCCTTGCCACAGTATATATACTGTGGTGGGTCGGCAAGCAGTTAGCCACTTCCTGTCCACCCTATAGCAGAAGTACTGCTACAGGGTAGCAGGGGTGCACAAAATTACGTATATATACATGGTTTTGCATTTCCGGGTAGGGGGCGCCGCGGCTGTCAATCACCAGGTCCTGGCTGGTGATTACTCGCCGGCACCCGCTGATTGCCGAGCATCTCCGACAGCGGGGAGAACAGTTTGTAAACAAAACAGTTCTGTCCCCTGTCAGCTCATAGCACTGCAGCTTGGCTGTGCATAGCACAGCCATGCAAAGCAGTGTGCTTACAGTGAAGCACAAACACAGCCCCACAGTAAAAACACACACACACACACACACACACACACGTAACCCCTCATGTTAACCCCTTCCTGCCCAGTGCCATTAGTACAGTGTCAGTGCTTTTTTTTCGCACTGATCACTGTATTGGTGTCACTGGGGAATGTCAGTGACACCAAGAAAGTTCTCCCCCAGTGTCAGAATGTCCCCCGCAGTTCAGCTATAAGTCGCTTATTGTCGCCATTAGTAGTAAAAGTAAAAAAATAAAAATAAAAAAATAATCCCAGTATACATACCATTTGTAAATGCTATAAATTTCGCATAAACCAATTAATATACACTTATTGGCAATTTTTTTTTTTATCAAAGACATGGAGCAGAATACAATTTGACCTAAATTTATGACAAAATTTTATTTTTTAAATTTTTTTACTGGACATGTTTAATAGCAAAAAGTCAAAAATATTTTTTTTTTCAAAATTGTCAGTTTTTTTTTTTTTTCTCTATAGCGCAAAAAAAAAAAAAAACCGCACAGGCGGTCAAATACCACAGACAGAAAGATCTATTCATGGGGGGGGGGGGGAAGACAAATTTAATTTGGGTGCAACGTTGCATGACCGCGCAATTGTCAGTTAAAGTAACGCAGCGCCATAATGCAAAAAATGGCCTGGTCAGGAAGGGGGGTAAATCCTCAGGAGGGCAAGTGTGGTTAAAGAAATCTGAAAAATAACACTTACTGGTCAGGTCATAAGGTGACAATAAGAGAAAAAAAACATGCATAAAAAAGGTATATAATGCAGCCATCACATCTAAGAATAGGTAAGCTGCAATAAAATATATTTTTGTTTTGGTGTTTAATACTGATTTAAAAAGTAGCAATAACCAAATATGAAAACATGTGCTGTCTATATACCCAGCAGACTATATTTTTACATTTGTGGTGGTGCTCAACCAAGTAAAGAACATCCAGCAATACACAAGCAACAGTTGCTGCATGTGATCCAAAGAAAAAGTAACAATTATTTATAGCAATTTTTTTTTTGTTGTAGTTTCTGAGGCTTCATTCCCTATTTTTAGTAATGTTGTATGTGTATGTCTCACCTGGTTCAAATAATGATAGCTCTCTGGGCGAATAAGATGAAATTCTGCCTTCTCCTCTTCACTCGCGCCAGCCAACAAATAGTAGAACACATGGTAATTCCTGTTCATATTGTACAGAGGATTTATTCATATTAATAGATAAAGACACATGAAACATGGATACAGAACAGACCAGCAATAAAATGAAAGACTGACTGGGGCAATGATAAACTGTACATGGCGCACTGCCCTTCACTGCACCGTATATATTTGTTACACAATTATGAGCACAGGGCTTCAGATCCGCCACAGATCTGCTTCACATTGTAGCACAGATATTAAATGATACGGCATAAAAATTTTAATTTTTGCCACACATGTTGAAATCTTTTGCAATACAGGAACGCTATGTTCTTGATTTGGCACATGACAAATGTACTTCACATGTGAGCCAAAAATATGCGGTAAAAACAATAGTTATCGGACTCTGTCTTTGTCTGTTACAAATTGAAGGAGCAACTAATGTACCTATGAAATTGGCCAGACCAGATTTCTGATGAGTGTTTGCAAGGGCCTTAAAAACCAAGTTCACCTTTAGGAACATGTTACACCCATATTTAGGCTATAATATATCACATGTTAATATGCCCCCCCTGCTCTAGTGACAGCATAAGGGTATTCCCTCTACTCTACAGCTGTCAAATCAAAATTTTGTGTAGGTGTGTGGGACTCCACCTGCACAGTTCCATCACTGCGGCAGATGGACTTTACTTCTCAATGGACTTTGACCGTGATAATCAGCACACTCAGTCCATTGACACTTTCTCCAGCTTCCTGAGAGCATGCACAGAGGTACAGGAGGAAAGCTGGAGAAAGTGTTTGCAGGAGCCTGACATTGCATGCACTATCCACTGATTGCGGGTGCAATGCTTTGAAAATAATAATAATAAATTAACTTTTTTTTCCTGCAAAAACATGTGAATTTATTTATTTTTAAATGTGAACTTAGGCTTTAAGGTGATGAGGCCACTACAGGATAAACCTAGCCACATGTTGGGCTCTCGGCAAATTCGTTCTTTGCAGCTAGGCATTGTTATTCAGAATTTCCTACAAGCCCACTTATTCCCATGTTGCACTAAAAAGTTGGATGGTACTGGCACTCCAGTTGTTCTACATTAGTACCAGTTATAATGGCATAGTTCCAACATTGTAAAGTAAAGGATCTCTGAAGATTTGTGGACCAAAACATTCTGATTTAATGGGTGTCTCACTCTTTTTAATAATTACCCTTCCCTTTATTTACCAAGCGATCCATTTCTAACTTTAAGTAGCTGAACTACACATGTTGCTCATTTAGTAACATAAAATGTGGATGTAACAACAGAAAGAAGGAAAGGCAGTCACATTGGCTTGTGCTGTGTATTTTCCTTCCACTAAACTTTGCGGCCAGCATTTGTCCCAGAGCTGGCACCATGGAGATCCCCCAGGACAGCCCTCAGGAAATGGGTAGCAATGACTATAATGAAGTTTCCGTTTCATGGCAAGACACCAAAACAGTGGCCTCAACAACCGAAAGCCACAAGCTTGGATGATATTTTTAAACCACTAGCAATAGCAAATGCCTACACAGGTTCCTATCCAGCACTGCATAATAATATGTTGGCACTTTATAAATACAGCACAATAATCAGCAGCCTAGTATCTATAGTCGCTACACCAGGAAGAGTTAGCTGAGGCCAGCACACGCCTTTCAGAAGCATGAGATATTCATTCATAAAACAGGATTCAATACATGAGGATTATACTGAACAGAGGATTTTAAAGGACATCTACACAAGATAAATGTGTAGATTGCCACGAATGACATCTTGTCCTGAAGATGCTAGCTGTCTGACCAAGCTTAAAGCAGAGTTCCACTCACCTATCAAAAAATAAAAGTCAGCAGCTACAAAAACTGTAGCTGCTGACTTTTAAAATACAGCCACTTACCTGTCCCTCGGTCCCGTGGTGTGTCCACCTCAGCCCGTTTCACCGACCGTCCTGTATTCCAGGAGGCCAGCATGTTCAGTGTGGGCACCCGGCTGTGATAGCTTGCGGCTTCACAGCCGGGTACCCACTGCGCATGAACAAGTAGCGCTGCACTTCATGAATGGTCCTGTAGTCTTCTGGGACCTGTCATGTGTCCCAAAAGACTACAGGGAGGGAGGACACCTTCCACTTCCGATCGACTAGGCGGGAAGTGGGAGTGGGTACCTGTCAAATTCGGGTACCGCTCCCCCAACCGCAGGTGCCAATCCTTAATGGGGAACGGGGGAGCAGTCCTTAAAGCAGAACTTCCCCTTTTGGGTAGAGCTCCGCTTTAAGCTGGCTATTCACTGAATGTGCTTCAGTAAGCCCAGTAAGGATCAGACGGCTTTTGATCAGTGTCTGGCTATTTCTGCTCAATAGTTTAACTTCTGTCAAAGAGTCATGTTGGGATTTTTTTCTCGACCAGTGGCTACAGCTGCTGATCAGTATATTCGAACAGTGGTGAGTCCCACAGCCAGAATACAAAGTCCCAGTGGGGGGATTCCTCTTTCCACCTCATGTGTGTGGATGGAGGAATCGGTTAGTCTTTTTTCTATCGCAGTTGGAATACGCACTTAGATATTTTTACATTATCTCTACGCTCCAGGAGTGAGGCACTAGACACTCCACCTTATTAGGGGCGATTTGTCAATGGGTGTTATCGCATGTACATCATCTATGCGCCCCCGACCCTCTACCGGTATGTTGTCTGTCATAGATATTGTTTCCCTACTGGTGGTTGACATTTGTTAGACTCTCTCTGTTTATGTTCACTTTGGACTTGTATGCCTTCAAGAACCTGATACTGTTATAAGCTTGCTAAAAAAAGTATGGGGTTAAAAAAAAAAAAAAATGTATCTAGGTGGATGCAGGATTGATCCAATGCTGCATCTGTCCCCTGCCACCTCTGCACTGAGAACTGAGTGTTCAAACACAGCTGATTGCTCAGTTCTCCCCTCTGTCCTGAGCAGAGAGCGATGACTTAGTCACCGACTCTTTGCTCTGCCCCTCCAGAGCTCACTGGAGTGCTTTGCTGGGGAGGGGAGGGAGCAGCTGGCTCGGTCTCCCAGCACCGCAGCCGAGAGGCTGGGCCAGCTTCAGGTCCAAGCATCAAGGTGGATCCCGACGGTAAAGTTGGAATCTTTCATCAGCCAACAGCTGACTTTAGCCTCGAGTGCAGAACAAACTGTACTCCTGTGAACCACTGAAGTACAGCCAAAAAAGATTTTGCTATACTTCTCCTTTAATTACCTTCAATAAAAAATATATTTTTTTAGGGAAAAGAAAACTAAGTGTATGGTCAGTTTTAGAGAACAAATAAAGGCATTTTTTTTTTTTGCCAGTGGTGAGGGATTAGACGATCTGTCAGGTTTTCATTGCTGTCAGTGTCCGTTAGGGAGATTCATCCCCTCTAGGGGTCCTGTTTACCGTTATCATAGAGTGGAAATCCCACATTTTGGGTTGTCGGCAGAATAGAAACAGAGGGGAAATCTTTCAATGGGGACACTAGTTTTGGTGACCCTGGTGACAACCAGGGATTCCTACACTTTGCAAAGATTTCCACTCACTTTCTGTTTCGCTTATGGGGCAGGAAGTGAAGGGAAATCTTCCCAATGGGACACAGATGACAAAAAGAAACAGGGGTTATAACCCTCCTTTACTTTATACACATTTTTAAAAAAATGTCTTTAGTTCTACTTTTCAGTAGCTGCATGTTTGTTCTTCTTAGTAATTTAGGCAGTAGGAAAGCCAGAGACAGCTTTTTGGGGAGATTTTAACTAACATTTTGTGCTTTTGGTGGCCACCCTTTTCCACTATTACAAATGTGTATCAATTATCATCTGCATTCAGTACAGAAGGTGAGAATCGCATATGCTTCTACTTTGTTTAAAATTTTATTTTGATGCCAGAATGCGGTTAACTGTAAGAGTACAAATACAAGCTGCAGTTTGTTGCTTATACAAAAAACTGCAGCGATAAACGTATACTTTTTATAATTTTCTACAATCTACCACTGCCGTGCATTTCAAATGACCTCACTCACCTCTCATGCTGTTCTTGGTAAACAAGCCTGGATTTCTCCAGAAGATACTTCTCCACGTATGCTCTGCACAGGGGATAAATGCCATGTATTAATACAAAGTTTCTGATTTACATTCTATACAAGGGTTGTTCATTGAGATCATTGAGATCAAAGAGCAATACATAGGTAGAAAACGAGGTAGTTCACAGCAACTCACTATGATAATACACTTAACAGTGATATGAGTGTCCACATACACATACACTGGGTGCTTGGGTTAAACCAAAATGTTTCCATGAGACCCGTATATTGCTGGGACCATGTTATTTTAATGGCCTATTTCTTTATTTTTCACACACACACACACACACACACAGTGCCATGCAGTACCTTGTGTCGTGGTTACTTACAAGTCCTAGTTTTTAGATATGGTGGCTTTTTTCAGTGTTTTCTCCACAAGGCGATTTAGCAGATGACACTACACTCATTACTTCACTGTATCTAAGGAGGGAGCCATGGTTGACACCCAGATTGGACTTCATATATGTCTTCCTCTTTTCAACTCCATGACATGGGGTGTGGGGGTATTAGAAGATTAAAGAAGTATTTCAGGTATAATATTTACATAGTTACAGCTTGGAATAATGTAAGTATGTATGAGCTGCACCTGTGGTATCCCTGTGGAAGCTGGAAATCATCCTAGTGGGCAGTGCTACTACAGTGATCTCCATTAGCTTTCAGGTCCTGCACCGAGTAGCTGACTGCTGCATTGTGAACACAGGAGGTCACTCTGTCGTCATTCAGAGAATACTATCCATTTCCTCAATCAATGCCAAACGCTCTATGATTGGATGAGGTGGGGCAGTGATGTCACGATTAAAGAACACTTTGCGGTGTTTGCTTTGAACACTTGTCTAAACAAAGAACCCTTCACATTCGTTGAGAAAACGTGTTCTCTGAATGGGACTCAAGCCCACCGTGTGACCTCCTGTGTTTAATAAGCAGAAGTACAGCTGCTTGGCAATGGACCTGGAAGCTAGTGGCAAACACTGTAGGGGCAGTGCCTACAACCCTGATTTCCAGCATGGTGACCCCACAGTTATGTCACATACATACTTGCATTGTCCAGTATGAACAAAAATTTTCAAGCACCCAATGTATGGCAAAACCATGTTTGAAGTAACGCTAGTAATCTGAAATACTCTATGAGCATATTATAACATTACACGTGTGCATTAAATACACATCTGCTCCCTTACCCACGAACAGTTCCTGTCTCATGATAGTTGACTTGGATGAACTTCCCAAAGCGACTTGAATTGTTGTTCTGTGATGTTTTAGCATTTCCAAAAGCCTGAAACACAATCAAGGAATGGACAAGTTATGAGTTAAGGAGGGAACAAATAAGCAGATATCTGAAAAACCTGAAACCTGTTTTCAAAATAACAGCCACATACCAAAACACAAATGGAATTTTTTCTTTTAGATATAACTGCAAGTCTAAAGCTGGCCAAAGATGGCTCAAATCTCAGCCTGTTCAGCAGGGAAATTCGATCCAGGCTGGTTGTGTTGAAGTCGATCCATCAACTGATTTGAGTACAATCAGCCTGTCAGATTTTTTTGCAAGTGATTACTGGCGGCAGCTATTGCAGCTAGCAGTAATCATTGTGTTCTGCCATCTCGGAAGTCTCCTTGCCAGCAGAACACCATGGAGCCGTGGCTGCAGGAAAGAAAATCGCATCATCTATGGCTTGCTTAAAATGATATAGAAGCACTAAGGGAAAGAACTTAAAATTCTTTATTGTGTCAAGTCCAAAACAAACTGAAATTAGTGACATTTCAACCCTAACCCATTTTTATCAAATTAAATGAAAATACAGCTTGCTAAAAATGCACATTAGGAGTGAAATGTCCTTGTTTACCATTATGGCACGGAGCTGCTGCAATCTCTGACTGCTGCTATGGTGGAACTGGTGCAGACCTACAGAGCACCAGTGATTGCTGTCATTATCAGCTCTATACATAACGGTTTGCTTTCCTTTGTGGTAAAGTGAATGACCAATCCAGGTGTTTGCAGGGAACAAAAAAACATATGAATAGAACTATAAAATAGAATACAACAGAAAATAGAACCCAACATGTGGTCCATTTTCCTTGCTGCAGAACTATCTGCAGGAAGATTTTAAGCAATACAGGCTGAACTCCAAAGAAAGTTAAAATCCTCCCTTGAAGTGCAGCTGCCCTGGACTACAGGATTGAATGCTTGTTTACATCGAAGGGTCTGGAAACCGTACTTTACCCAATCCTTCAGTCCTGAAGGCTCCTCCACACTGTAAGACCGTTCCCCGCAGCCTTTTCTCCCCTGCTCTCCAAGGATTTAAGGTCCTCTGACATCATCAAGGCTGCTGCAGGTCCCATAACCTATAACACTGCACTGGATCAGTTAAGTAAAAGTGCTTTCCCAACCCCTAGACCTAAATGAGCAGCCCCACAGCAAGGGAGGATTTTTTTCTCATCATAGTGTGTGATTATTTATACACACATATGTCTACACTGCCCATGCATGGGTGATATGGGTGAGAACTGCATGTGTACGTCACTATATAAGAAAATATCAACTATGGGCACACTGTAAGGCTTGCTGTGGCATGTCAGTAAAGCTGGCCATACACCAGTAGAATCAGGTTTCTAAATTTTAATTTTCTTTTTTTTTTTTAACATGCATTAGATTTTAGGCTACATGTACACTAGCAAACCCTGACTGCGGTCACGGGAAAACGCAAAACGCATGTAAAATGTGGTACCAGGTTTTCCCATTGCCACCCAAAAGGAGAGGGAGGTTTAACCTCACTTAAATGTGGCAGTTCCTAAATTCTGCTAAAAGCTAATGTGTACATGGACATAGGCTTTTAGTTGTTGCGTTTAGGAGCTGTGGCAAAAAAACATGCCACTGTCACTGCACATGAAGCCTTAATAGGTAGTGTATCAAATTGGAATTTGTTTTTGTCTGCAGTGACAAGATAAAAAAAAATGAAAAAAAAACACAAATTCTAACCATAAATGTGGTTTTTATTTGATAAAATACTACATATTGTAGCGAGCATGTTCTTGGCACAAAATCAACCTTTTTTATGTCTGGGATTCCTTTCAAGTAACAGACCTGGACCAATTTAGAATGGCTTTCAAACAAAATTAGCTGATTCAAGGATGGCAAGATCAAATGCCAAACAACTTTTTAAAATTTCTACAAGAAAATTTGACTGAAATTTGACTGAAGTATGGCCAGCTTAACACTGCATTGAACACACATCGATGCTGAATGAAGAACAGTGACTGCATGTTGGCAAAATGACGCTGAAGTGTGCACTGGAAACAGAGGTCCTGTACTTTTAGACAGAAAGTCAAGACAATCTGTTCACATGAGCTCCCCAATTATCTGGCAATGGTCCCCACGCTCACAACTCTCCTCAATCAGCAGTTTTCACAGAGTTGTCAAGCAACTTGGAGGCTCCCATCAGCCAGAGCTGTCCAACTTTCCTCTATGTGATACAGCGGGTAAAATAAGTATTGAACACGTCACCATTTTTCTCAGTAAATATATTTCAAAAGGTGCTATTGACATGAAATTTTTACCACATGTTGGTAACAACCCATGCAATTCATACATACAAAGAAACCAAAACAAATATGTTCAGAAATTAAGTTATGTAATAAAATGGAGAGACACAGGAAAATGTAATGAACATATGAAGAAACAAAGGCGCAAAAAGGCATGGAAAGCAATGACACCAGCTGAAATCTATCACTAATTAGAAAGCAATCCTGCCCCTTGTCAGTGCAAATCAGCTGGTTTAGTCTCAATTGATGGCCTAAAAAAGGTGTCTCATTACCAAGGTGTCACATAAAAACATCTGATGATGGGTAAAAGCAAAGAGCTCTCACAAGACCTTTGCAACCTTATTGTTGGAAAACATACTGATGGCATTGGTTACAGAAGGATTTCTAAACTTCTGAAAGCTCCTCTGAGCACTGCTGGGACCATAATCCGGAAGTGGAAAGAACATCATTTCACCATAAACCGGCCATCACCAGGTGCTCCTCACAAGATTTCTGACAGAGGAGTTGTCCAAGAGCCAAGGACCACTTATGGAGAGCTTCATTAGCAGGTGCAATTGGTTCAAAGAAAAAAATAAGTAAGGATGTTGAAGCTCATTTAGAGTTTGCTGCACAACATTTAGACAAGCCTGTGAAATACTGGGAGAATATAGTCTGGTCAGATGAGACCAAAATTGAACTCTTTGGATGCCATAATACTCACCATGTTTGGAGGTCAAATAGCGCTGCACATCACCCCAAAAACACCATACCAACAGTGAAGCATGGAGGTGGGAACATCATGGTGTGGGGCTGTTTTTTAGCATACGGTACTGGCACACTTCATGTCATTGAAGGAAGGATGAATGGAAAAATGTATAAAAAAACATTCTTGATAAAAATTTGCTGCCATCTACCAGGATGATGAAGGTGAAATAAGGGTGGACATTTTAGCAAGACAATGAAACCAGTAGAGAGTTTCCTTGGCTTTGTGTTTGGGATCAAAGAAAGAAAATAAAGCTGCTAGAATGGTCCAGCCAATCACCTGACTTGAATCCAACAGAAAATCTATGGAAAGAACTAAAGATCAGAGTTCATAGAAGAGGCCCACGGAACCTTCAAGATTTGAAGACTGCGTGGAAGAATGGGCCAAAATCACACCTGAGCAATGCATGCGACTAGTTTCTCTATACAGGAGGCGTTTTGAAGCTGCCATTACCAACAAAGGATTTTATACGAAGTATTAAATAAATTTCAGTTGGCGTGTTCAATACTTTTTCCCTGTGTCATGCCATTTTATTACACAACATAATTTCTGAACTTATTTGTTCTGGTTTCTTTGTATGTATGGATTGCATGGGTTGTTACTGACATGTGGTGAAAATGTCATGTCAATAGAACCTTTAGAAATATATTTACTGAGAAAAATGGTGACGTGTTCAATACTTATTTTACCCGCTGTATAAAACATCCCTGAAAATCCATTTCTCTTCAAAGTGTTTCTGAACCTGGGCTGAGGTTGTATAACATGGTTAGTATCCAAGATGGTTCCTCTGGGATTTCTAGTGTTAATATGTGGTTACACCCCATTAGCACTGCATGTTCAAGCTATTGGGATATAAGCACAGGTGTATCTCATTTCAGATGCATTTCAGGTCAGTAGCCAGACCTAAACCTAGTAGCTCTCTTCCACTTTGTGTCTGTTTGCCCCAGGTTGGCATTGTGTCCACAGTAGCATTTGCCTTGGCAGAGCAGAGTAGGACTGGCCATAGAGGGATTACTTTGATGCAGTCAAATCACTGGATTTGATGGGCACAGCGCATGGATCGATGCAACAGGACTCAAGTATTTGGGCAAACAGGACTCAAGTATTTGGGAAAGTTTTTTTTTTTACCTTAATGCAGGTAATCCATTAAGGTAAAAGAAAAAACCTTGCGACTTTAAAACCACTTTAAAGTATAACAAAAGGCATTTTTTTAAACTTTTGGCTAGAGTGGAAAGGCATTAAAACAACTGTCAGGTTTTATTGCTGTCTGTGCCGCTATTAGGGAGACTCGCATCCTCTATTTGTCTTGTTTACCATCATCACCAAAAATGAACGAAAGCCCATCATTTTGGATGGTCTCCAGAACAGTAATAGGGAGGGAAATCTTCCAATGGGAACACTAGTTCTGGTGACAACCAGGGATTCCCTCACTCTGGAGAGATTTCCTCACTTCCTGTTTTGGCTATGGGACAGGAAGTGAAGAGAACTCTCCCCAGTGGGGACACGTATGGCAACAAAAAACTGTCAGGAGTTAAAACCCTCTCTTACTCTACCAAAAATTGAAAAAAGGTACTGCCTTTAGTGCTGCTTTAAACCAATGCAGTTATAATTTAAAAAAATAAAAACACTACAATTTCAGCATAAGCCCAGATCAGTTCCAAGCCTTTCTCCAGCATGTTCTCTTATATACACAGTTTCTCCCTTGGTCCTTCATGTCACAAGTATTTCACTTTCTATTCTCACTTGAATCACAAAGTCAGATACAAGCTTCACTGTCACACCCATTATTGTGCTGATGCGGCACCTCTTCTTGCTAAAACAAACACTAAGAATAAATGCTAAGAATTATTGACTACAGAGTTTTGTATGGAAGCAGAATTATTTTTATGAGGGAAAGTAGTTAGCATAGCTCAATTATTTAGGGCTTTAAGCCTGAAAGAGACCCTGTCACCAAATTAAAGTGACATTAAAGGTTTGGCCTTTTTTTGAAAAAAAAAATAACAAACATGCTATAATTACCTGCTCCGTGGTTTTGCACAGAGCAGCCCCAATCCTCTTCTTCTCCGGTCCCCCATCGATGCTCCTGGCTCTTCCCCCTTGAACAGTGCCCCTAATAGCAAGCTGCTTGCTACGGGGTACTGGTACGTGCTTGCTCCCAAGCCTGGCTCTATGCGTCCATAAGACACAGAGCCATGACTTGGCCACGCACCCTGCCCTCTCCTCATTAGCTCATTGGCTGTGATCAACAGCAGAGGGTTCCAATGGCTCCCACTGCTGTCTCAGCCTTTAACGAGTGGGGGACACGAGACAGCCAAGACTCCCTTGCACATTGCTCGATCGAAAGGGGTGCTCAGGGGAGTATTAGGGGGAGCTATGGGGGAAGCAGCACACAGAAGGTTTTTTTTTTTTACCTTCATGCATAGAATGCATGAAGGTAAAAAACCTTCAGCCTTTACAACCACTTTAAAACAATTGCAGACAAAAGGACAAAAAAAAAAAAAAAAAATGTGCCTTCACCTCCCTACATAACCTTTAATGTAGCTGCTGGGGAAGAATCGAAGGCAAATACTAAGGAGTGTCAGTCAAGTCTGCTGACATCACATCCAAGATGGCGGCACTCAGCAGAAGTCAGGGCTTTTAGAGGTCTACAGAGGGGAGTGAAAAAAGTTAAAGCTCATTGCCTGTAAAAGTAAAACGCTCCCCTGTAATAGGGCCCCCCCCTGCACTGTAAAAGGTTAAATGCTTATTTAGGTCTAGGGGGCCTCAAAAAGTAGTTTTACTTTTCTGCTCTGCTTTCCCGGCAGCTAGCACTCTCCTTTACTCCCCTACACTCTAGCAGTGGACTGTCCCTCAGCATCTCATGCAGGGTTATGGGCTCTGCATTTGAATTGATGCCATCAGAAGACCTGTAACTGCTGCAGCATAAGGAAGAGGCTGATGGGACGGTCCTACAGCCTGGGGGAACCCTGCTGGAGAGGAGGAATGCGTAAATAGAACGGGGTTTTTTTTTTTTTAGCCATGGACCTAAAAATGGGCATTTGACTCTTGTAGTGCTGGGGCAGCCCCACTATAAGGGAAGACTTACTTTCCCTGATGTTTAGCTTAAAATGCTTAAAATGCACATATATGGTGTTATGGGAAAATTTTGTTGACATGAATAGTCTGGCAACAACAACCCTTTCATGTACCGCTTGTATAAAACTGACTCTTACCTCCAAAACTGGCCCTGCACCCAATATGATCTGTTCCACTCCGCTGGCATATCCTTTCTGGCTAAGAGCTGTCAAATGGTGGATGAGAAAATTGGTGCTTTGAGTCTTTCCAGAGCCTGTCTCTCCAGAGATAACAATGCATTGATTACACTGCCTTCTGAGCATAGCATGGTAAGCAGCATCTGCTACTGCATATATATGAGGTTCTCGTTCTCCAAGCCTTCTGTTATCATACATCTTCACATACTTGGGGTTGTATATTGGTAAGAATCGGAATGGATTAACTGCCACCAAGATACTTCCAACATAAGTATAGATTTTCTCCTGTCGGAAGCGTGTTCGGAGAGTCTCAAGCAAAGTCCTTTCGTTAAGGTCAGGCAACCCACAAAGGTCCTCACATTCTGGTCCCTGTTCTGGGGTAAAAATCCCCTTTCTACCATACGTCTGCGCTCCTCTGTCACTTTTAGCCAAGACTGAAGACTGCCATAGTGAATGGAGCCATCCACATTTTTTTCCCTTAAGAGGAAGCGATAGTCCTCCCCAGATGCACGAGCCTCTAATGCAAGTCTGGGCCATAGCATCATTCGCTGTACTGGACAGTCAGTTGGGTTAAGGATCCACTCTTCTCCACCAAATTCCTTGACTTCTGCCAGCACATAGCACTTGGCTCGATCCAAACGCAGTGCTGTAATAACAGCATCAATGACATCAGCAGCCGTAGTGTGTCGGCGGGCGGGCAGCGGGCAGTAGATGACATCTGGGTATATGCTGCCGGGGTAAACCTGCAGGGTGAACTCTTCATCCAGCAGGCGGCGCCGCCCACCTCCACCCCCCACCTCAGACATGGCGGCGCTCCGTGTCCCATCAGAAGGAGTGTGGATGGTTCCCCGTCAGAGGGGGGACACCTACAAATGAAGAAAAAAATGAATCGTGAGTCAGTATACATACAATGCATTAATAATTTTGTCAACCATTGGTTTAGCTCTACTTTCTTATTAGTAGTTTTGAAACCACAACAACTACAGAGCCAGCCCCATCCCAGTTCATACTGGATCCGAGGACTCAAAAATTCCTCTGCAGGAGCGAGTATGATGCGAGAGAACACAATGATTACAGTCAGTGGCTACAGCCGCCAGCAGTGATTGCATGCAAAAAATCCAACAGTCTGGTTGTACTGATTTCAGTACAACCAGCCAACCTGTAGATGGATTGAATTTCAGCCCATCACTGCTGAACCAGCCGAGATTCAATCCATCTATGGCTGGCTTAAAGTTGTGTTGCTCTCTACAAGTGAATGCAGTGCTGTTTCTCAGCGAGTGCTATTGCCCTGCTGTGTTCCATGTTAAACGATAGTATGTACTGTACTATCCACGCACACAGGAGTAGTAAGGAGTATTAAATAGTAGCTCAGAGTAGTGTCTTAAGCTGCACATTGTGATCTAGACTGCAGACACATGCATCATGGGTAGCTTGGGCAAAATGTCAATCACTGCTGCTGTTGGTGTAACTGTTGTGATGTCCTGGCTCCACCTGACTCCTCCCGTCAGCCAGCACATAAGATAAAAAATGATTAAACACCGGGGTGGAATGAAACACATTGGGGGCTTGGCTTGGTGGGAACCCAGGCTGATGCTTTCCTCATAGGGTTTTGCAGTGATGTGCGACTTTTAGGACTTTCTTTCCGTACAGGATAAAAAAAAAAAAAAAAAAAAGCATGGATGATCAAGTGTCCCATTTTTTTTTCCTTTCTGGTTTTAAGGTAATTTAAAAAAACTAAAGAAAAAATATTGAAAAGCAAAAATCTGCACAGTAGGCTGAGGGTAAGCATAGAATCTAGGACAATTGATACTCGAGTTTTGCATTAAACACCCCATCATCTGTTATAGTGACCTGTTATGACCTTTACAAACCCATAAAGCAACTCTACCATCCGCCTGTGGATGTTCTGGATCTGGCTGTATACGAAAAACGTCCATTGTCACAACAAAATGAGAAATCCTGTGTAAAATGGAGGCTAAAAAACGAAGAAGAACTTATAAACATGAGGCATGACAGTCAATTGACCTGCCCAGTCTTCAAATGTGCACTCAAACCTTGTTAAAAATTAGTGTCCTCCAGCTGTCAGATTAGCTTTTACTCATTCTTGGCAATGTCTGACCTCTCAATGACTAAAGCCAACGTTGATTAGATTATGTCAGATAAAAAACAGTCACTCTTCCCCAAATAATAAACTTTTTGTGCCCATATAATAAATATAAATTACAGATGATGTAACACTTCTTCCGGGTCAACATATCATATGATTGAATCAATTGACCGTCATTCATCCCATAGTAGAACGAATGTGTGCTAGAGAAATTACAGATGTGAACAGTTCCCAGCCATTTTTTGAGTCTGAACATTCCTCCAGTGTTCTAGCAAAGTCACAACAAACCTTTCCCATTGCTTGCGTCACTTTCTACGTGTTGCTTGCCACCAGTGGACTAATACTTAGACAAAACACTGTGCTTCCTGTACTTTGCCTAAGGGCCAGTCCACTCCATAGTAATGAACCTACGCTGGGGATTAGAAAGAGCTGCACATGAATATCTACTCTGCTAAAATTAGTTCAAGCAGTGCAAAGGCTTAATTATGGCTTAATATTATCACATAAATGGGTACGCTAAGCCTTTTCCCCCACCACATTCAATACAGTTATGAAACGTTAATTAGGATTAGCATTTTTATGGGTGTAGCTTTTACCTAATCTAGCATAATTACAGATGAGGCTCCATTAGTGTCACTGTAAGCACAATGGGACAGTGATTAATGAATCAAGTACCAGGAAATGCTGTTAAGGGGCAGGATGAACAATAACACATGTATCCTTTATTTTTTTGCCTATTATGATGGCGTTCCTATATATGGCAAAATAACGTTTTCATACAGGGATCACGCTATCAAAAACATTTCATTATACAAAATTAATAAAGTTTGCAGTAAAGTGTACTTGATCTGAACCATAATTATTAATGGAAATACAATAAATGGACCCATATTCTGCTTTCACACAAAGTGGAACTACACTGCATTAGAGCACCACAAACCCTTTATGTTAAAATGCATGGGTGCACACAAAACAGGTCGCTGCTGGAGATGAATCAGTGTCCGAACACAATCAAAAATGGCCGACTCTGCAAAGACCAAGAGCCAAGAAACTGTACAGAAGGACAGGAGCAGCAACAAGCAAGTTCTAAATTATGAAGAGTTAGGGCCCATTCATACCATATGTATAGGGCTGTGCTGGACAGCGATGCCCAACATAGTCCAAAAACACAGACAAGACAGACAATGTCCCTTTTAATATATAAATATAAAATGTTTTCTTTTTTTTTTTTATATTGTTGGGGCATGGAAGCTTTTTGAAAGAATATACGGGTCTTGGTCTCGCAAGGTCAAGAAAAAGTGACCAGGAGTCTTCAAACTTTCGCAACAAAGGCACAGTTTACTGCTTTTCACACTTTAGGGGAGCCGGACTTTGGCCAGTGGGAGTAGAAAGTGCCCTGGCATAGGTGGAAGTAAACAATGCCGTAGGCTCGGTGGTCAGTGGGAGGAAAGAAAAATAAATTACATCATTGGTGTCATTTAGAGAATTAGATCCCTATCTCTGGTGCTGATGGGAGGAATATTACCTCATCACTGGTGTCAGTGGGAGGATTAGTGCTTATATCAGTGGGAGGAATAGTGCCTGTAGTAAAGAACAAAAAACAAAGTGCAACCTTGCGCATTACCTCAGTAGGCTAATAAATTTATTGATAATTTATTTTTTGTTCTCTACTACAGATTATATCGAGCTTCCCCAGCTTTGTGTTAGAGCCACAAAACCTTTGATCAGTTTTGAATGAACATTTTACTTTCATCATATTGTTCGATTGGCCTTCTTCTGATCTGGGTCCCTGAGAAGAGGAGGTGTTGGATTTGTGTCTACTGGGAGGAATAGTGCCCCAAGGGCCGGATAAAGGCAGGCAAAGGGCAACACCTGGGCTAGTTTGGAGACCGCTGGTCTGGACAATAAAGTAGTAAACAATGATCAAGTAAACAAAGTGCGCAAAAGATCTGACTGAGGCAATCTGTGCTGCTTCATCACTTACATTCAAATCTTCAGTGGAAAAATGATACAAAATAAAAGTTTTAATCTGATTGGTAGCTACACAGCAATCCAGATTATCTGAGATAATTCTACCCTCAAGTACTTTTTAAAAAGTCCAACTACAGACCTGCAATAGAAACAGATTGAATTTTAGCCAACAATTCATACCTGAGCATTTTGTTGTGATTTTTCCAAAGTGTGAAGAATCCCACTATTTTCATTTGCCTGTTTACACGTGAGCATTGTGTTGCTTGTCACCCGTCACATGAAGCGTGAAAAAGTACACAAGCTTCTTTGGAGCACAATTGCATTGTTCTGGCCCCTTTATTAAACACTAGCAAATTCTTGAAAATTACATGTTAACGCACATTTAAAAGTCTATGGGGTCAAAAACGTGATTCTGTTCCTGTACCACATGTTGCATAAAAAATGTGCAAAAAAAAAAAAAAACTTCAATCAACTGTCTGTGCTCTTGCTATATGTGAATGGGAGCTTCCTTTCAAATATTAGAAAGCTGACCACATAAGTTACAATGTTTTATGAAAACCCTCACGCTACAATGCTATCAACTCTGTAGAAGACTGAACAATGTGTGACCAGCCTTACAATAACTTTACAATAAGGGTCCTTTCACACGGGCGATCTGTTTTTTTTTCTTCAGTTCAGTCATTTTTTTCAAAGAAAAAACGAATGAGTTTACATCCATTTTTTCATCCATTTACATCCATTTTTCATCCGTTTGATCTGTTTACTCCGTTTTTGGTCCGTTGACATTCGCTTTTGTCTGTTCAGTTCAGAGTTTTTTTTTTTATTTTGTAGAAGAAACATAGGGTTTTCTTCTGTTTAAAAACGGATGTTAACAGATGCAGACATTAACTGATGTAAAAATATGTTCATCTGTTTACATGCACAAGTCCATAGAAATACATGGGTGTCCATTTTTCATCCGTAAATGGACAGATGAAAAATGGACATACGGAACGCCTGCGTGAAAGAGGCCTTAGTGTACACCGTGAAGAGTTTACTTTTTAAAAGATAATCCTCAGGTTTCAATAGTTTCACTATAGAGTCACTGACCCAGAACAAGCACATAGATCAGAAATTCAGAGACCATATCTCCATGCTTGCTTTCGGTAAGTGACTCAAAGTATTAACACTGGAGGGTCAACATGACAGTCAACTAGAAACTGCAAAATGTAGTGGAAGCCGCCATATCTCGCATATCTGCAAGAAGTGAAGAGATGCAAAGTTTAATTTATTTATAACATTATTTTTTTTTCTATTTGAACAGAATAAAGGATTTACACCAGGCTTTTTAAATCTGGGACTAAAACAAAATAGTTTTAGCTAAGTTGGGTTTTATAAGAAAGTCATATACACCATAGGATTCTTCCTATGGCATAGGAATCTGCAACAGACACTTAACTGGTAGCAAGTTGACACCCAAGCTGGCTACTTGTATTTCTTGAGGACTCTAGTGATGAGCTTTTTCTGCTTACGGCATTGGAAAGCCAAACAATGGTGGCCCATGATGTATGCCCCCTAATTTAGAAAGAACAAACCAGGGTGTTCAAATGCAAGAGAGTGACACTTTCATTATGTATTTGTGGGAGGGATACAGACAATCCATTGTAGGAAAACATTACGACTGGTGTCTCTAAGAAATACAAGCAGCTAGTGAGTAGTTCAACCCATTTGTGTCCTAAAAAAAAAAAT